TAAAATATGTAATAAAATGTGATTTTTTTTTCTTTTTACCCTAAATTTTAAAAAAAGAAGGAAGAAAAAGCGGATTAAACAATCAATTATTCATGATGGGAAGTGGTGTTGAACCTTTGACCTCATTCCCAGTAAACCAGTGGGTGGCAGAGCTGGACTGGCTGCTGATTATTCAAGCAGAAAGACTAATAATGCAAAAATAATCATAATGTCTGAGGCTCAATAGAGAGGTTCCAGAAGAAGTTCTCAAATAATGCATCCTGCTTTAGTCGCATCAGTACGTATTAGCATAACTGAAAAAAAATAGAACATTTGTAAAAGTTATATTTATAGTTACATTTCTTGCCAGTCATCTCAGAAAGAAACTGAGATCACAGAGTTTTGTTCCCTGTTATTTTGGTGATCATGGCTTACAGACAATGAAAGCCCCAAATACAGAGTCTCGGAAAATTAGAATATAATACAGTGGGATAGTGGAAAGTCACAGTGTGACGCCATCATTTGAAAAATAAACTCAAAACACTAGCTAAAGCTACTAGCTTTAGGTTAATGACGCCTGATATTTTCTATTTGACTTGTCTTTTTTTTTTATTGCAAACACAAGAGACAAGTTCATTTGTCTATTAAACATTTTATTTAAATACACAAATAAAGCCAAATGAGCAGGGCAACAATTCATACGCTACTAAGAAAAAACCAAACAAACACATTTTTATAAAGTTCTGTTCAGATAAAGTGGGGCATGAATATTAAGTTGCCTTCTCCACTTTTGAGGGAGTAGAAACTGAAGTGTTGATCCTATGAAGAAAAATGTAAAATGCCATATTTAGTTTTCAGCAGAACAAATTTAACTTTTAAGGATTAAAATTCTTCGAAAGCTAAACTATGACATGGGAAAGTCAGACCATAATAGCAATGATCCTGTGGAGTAACTTGCGCCACAACAAATAGCCATTAACTGGTTACTAGGTCTCCTGTTCTGAATGTTTCAGAAAATAGAAATATATGCAGGTCCATTTGTTTTAGTCTCAGTTGTTCTTTGTCATTAATCACTTCATATTAGTTGGAAAGTTATGTTAGTTATTTACTCTGTTGCATTGGGCTGCTTCTCAACAACGGTTTAACAACCTAGTAGGCAGGAATGCACCGGTATGAAAAACTGGACTGATTCTAGGTAGAAAAAGCCTGTATTTGTGTATTTATTATCATACTGGGGTAAGAAAGAGAAAATGACTAGGTGTTTCCAAAAATTGTTGCTGGCTTTTTTTTAAAAAAATCAGCAACATTTGTGTAAATTTTTTGTCAGGGTAGATTGTACAATTCTAGAAATTGCATTATTTTTTATTTTTAATGTGTTTGCTGTTTAAATGTAACATTTATTTTGTGTGTAAATCTTATTCATTTGGCTCTTAGGGGACTCCATACTCTGACTCGTCCTCTCTCGGCCCTTGACATGAAGAAGTAGTTCTGTGAGCTCGCGGCTTCGTCCCGCAACCACGGCTCCACAGCGCCCCCTCCGCTCTGCTCCGGTTAAACGCGGCACTGCAGCGACTGCGGGAGTCTCGCGTTCGACCCCCCGACCGCCAAAGCACGTCGAACCATCACCGCTCCGTGAAGCCAACGGGGCTTCCCGGGTCACTTTCAGACGGCTCCGGAGCAGGAATGACTCTCTTCCATCTCTAAGCGGTCACTCGCCACTTGTTTCCTCCCGGCCGCTGGACCGGCTCCGACGTCTTGCCAAACTGCGCGACTTGATATTAGTCAAGGATAACAGCGGCTACGATTTTACCCTCAAAACAACGACAGCTTGGGAAATTGGCTTGGTAAGTTCCGAATAATAGTCATTGGTGTGGTGTGTTTTTTGTTTCTCCTGCTTTGCTCCGGTCAGACAGACAGACAGTCAGTCAGTCAGTCAGTCTTTATGTGTCTCTCCTCCACCAGGGCAGCCATGGCAGAGCATCTCTCTCAGAGTGAACTGGACTACCCGTTTAAACTCCTGGAGTATTTCAACGGCTTCAGAGTGTCAAAGGTAAAATCACGGCGTGACGGGGAATCACATAACCGCGCGACGTGCTGCACATAGACGTCTTCAGGCACTTCGTTTACAGAGCGTGATGTTTTACTGGACGAATGTTCACATAAAGAAGAGGAAAGTTCAATTTAAAAAAGCTCATGGTTTATGTCCAGTGTCTTCAGAGGAACTTTCTGTATGGTTGGACTGAACAGCCACTCAGTGAGGAGGAAACCATGGAAACTTTAAAGAGAAAAAAAAAAAGTCACATTGCAGTTTTCCAAACATGTTGATCTCATTGTTACATTTGGAGGAAAAAAAGAAAAGGGAAACATTAGCCAGGATCAGTGGCAGTTTCTGATATGGGCGACATGGGCAACTGCCCAGGGCAGCACTGGTGGAGGGGGGCTGCATCCTGTTTGGAGGCATTCAACTTCCTCTGGCCGGGATGTTAAAGTTTGGGCGCAAATGACTGACTGACTGGTCAGTGACCCTGACCTGGGGGTGGGCAACCTGTGGCTCTGGAAACGCACGCGGCTCTTTAGCGCTGACCCAAAATGTTTGAAACTGGAAAAAGATGGGGGTGGGAAATATATGTTTTATTTTCCTATGGTTTCTGGAGGAGGACAAACACGACACAATCATTCTTAGCGTTTTCCAGTACTATAAAAATGTGCAGAATAGATATTAAATTTCAACATTTCCATCAACGGAAGATTTGCGTCAAGGGTCCACCAGCAGCCCACCATGTTTTTCTGTAAAATAAATAAATAAATAAAAGAAGTGACAAAAATTTGGAGGAAATATTATGTAGAAATGACAGCATGTGAGGCTAACTGGCTGGCACTGGGTCGGCGCAATTGGTGCAACCCATTTTAGTAATGATATGGCTGATTTATTGAAACCATAACGTCCCACCTGCGGCAACTCTGTTGCCTAGAAGTTTTACTTCTATTGGATGACTTTTTTTAAATTTTTTTATCTGATGTTTTTGATCCACTTTGCTGTGTGACTCAGTTCCACCAGGCCTGAAAAAAACTACCGTTTAAAAAAAACAAACACTTCTATCAACGAGCAAAGACTGAATCTAAAGGATGCCATAGATAGAAATCTAAGACTAAATCCCTCATTGCTTTTTCGGTATCAAATGTTTTCGGTAGGCGAAACTGACTGAGGGGAAAGGAAAATGCTTGGTTGTATTTCTGAACACAAAGCATCTCTGTGTAACGAAGAAACCAAAAGATGAACCCTACGCCTGTGTCCTCAGATGATATTCTCGGCCTGCGAGCTCGGCGTCTTCGACCTCCTGCTGAAGTCCCAGGACGCCCTGAGTGCTCAACATGTGGCGCAGGAACTGGGCACCAGCGTGGACGGGATGGAGCGGCTGCTGGACGCCCTGGTGGGCATCGAGATCCTGGAGGTGGAGAGGGCCAAGGGGACGGGTGAGGAGCGGGAAGACCTCCAATAACCGATAACCTTATTTGAATGTCACTATTGTTATTATTAGAGCTATGGCTGTTTCTGCACAGATTCTTCATCTGTTTGGAAGATGATCAGAACTCTGTTGCCTCAGTCAAGAAAAGTGCATGAGATGAAAGTTTAAAGCAGGAAAATATCAGATCGTAATGGATACCTGACGTACATCAGAGTATTAGGCTCAGACGAAGAGATGTTTTTTTTTTCTTTGAAATGATGAGAATAAACTTTAAAAAATTCTGAGAACAAATCACAACATTAGCAGAATGAAGACGCGATATTACGGGAAGAAAGCCACATAGTTATGAGAAAATAAAGTTGCTTTAATGAAAGAAGGCTTCAACAATTCTTTCTCTAAAATAGACAAAGTCATTTACGTAATCGTTTGAAAGTCCTGCCATTGATAATAATCTGAGTCCGATATGTCTAAAGATGACATATGTGTAAAAACCCAAACCAAAGTAAAACTTCACAAGACGCTCAACGTTCCTTGTTTGATTTGTTTTTCTGGAGAAATTCTCATAAAATAAAAAGGAATATAATAAATTTACTCTGGTTTATACAATGATTCTCATTTCTCCTAAAATTATGATTTCCTCCTCAAAGTGTAAAACTAAAATTTAGAATGACGTAGACATGGTGGGCTTTGGCTTGCCTCTCCGTCTGAGTTCGGTTTTCCGTTGTGCCTTTGTGTGTGAACCCAGCTCTGTACAGCAGCACAGACGTCGCTAACCTTTACCTGGCCAAAGGCAGCGCCAAATCCCTCCACGACATGATCATCTACCGCTCCCAAACCGTCTACCCCCTGTGGAACAACCTGGCGGACGCCATCAGGTCAGTGGCCCGCCGCCACGTCACATAAACATCTGTGAGAGCAGGAGGAGGGAAAACCAGGCAAAAGCATTCCCATCACATGCAGTTTGATGCAGTTTGTCCTGGCTCAGACACAAACCTTATTCTGTTTTACTGGGATGTTAGAGGAATGAAAGGAAACCTACAAATTAAAATCTGAAAAGTGTTGCGCATGACGCATTAAAACGAGCTCGATCATTTCCATTCTGATGATAGAAGAGCAATTTTCTTTTCAGAGACAAAATAATCCTTTGTAACTATAGTTTTGCTTGTGTGTGTTTTATATTCCTGTGTTATTGACTTTCTTTTTTTGCTGTTTGTTATTTTGGATGTTTACAGTACTATGGGATTATCAAAATATTACTTGAAAGTGGTCTCAAAAAAACAATATTATTGCTTATTGCAATAATTGAGAGGAAAATATATTGTCCAGTAAAATTTATTATCTTGACAAATTGGTTATTTAATGAAACAAAAATCTAAGGCAACTGATTTCATAGATAACATGATAAAACAGGATCAAAATCCAAAAGACCTTGTGTACAATAACAGCTAATTTATTATTTTATATATTTGTATGAACTGTAATGCTAAATCTACTTGATGATATATTTTATTTAGTTGCAAAAAGCAAATCGAAGAAGAGCCCACACTTGTTGACTCCTGACCCACACCGGGTTCCAAACCTTTATTTTGGGAAGCTTTAAATGAAACCATGTGGTTGTGGCATGATAAAATGTGAAAAAGTTCACGGGGTGTGAATGCTTTTGCGAGTCAGGGAGAACGAAACGCATTCAAGCTTGATGTCCTGCAGGGAGGGGAAGAACCAGTATGAAAAGACCTTCGGTTTTCCATCTGGCCACTTTTTCCAAGCTATTTACAGGTTGGTGCTCATCTGACTGCTTAAAATGCTTCACTGGTTCATCTCCAGTTTGCGGGTGACAGTAGAATGACTTCCTCCCCAGGTCTGAGGAGGAGATGCTGAAGTTCATGGGGATCATGAGCTGTCACTGGGTTCTGGACGGACACGATGTCGTGACGGCGTTCGACCTCTCCCGCTTCCAGAAGGTCGTGGATCTGGGAGGTGAGGACTCGCCACCCGTCCACTTCTCACCGCCTGCTGCGTTGTCGGTGGCTGTAAAGGTCTGCGCTGTGTCTTCAACAATCCCCAGGTTGCACCGGTGCTCTGGCCAATGAAATGGCGAGAGCGTACCCCGCCTCGTCCGTCACTGTGTTTGACCTGCCGGAGGTGGTGGAGGCGGCTCAGAAACATTTCAAACAGGAGGACAGCGGCGTTACATTTCAATCAGGTAAACCAGAATATTCATCATTATTGAACTCCTCATACTTTAAAACTCTGGTTTGAAGTGCTCTGTTTTATTTTTCTGTTTTTATTTACTATATATATATTTTTTTAAATAAAACATTTAATATCTCAACATAAGACAAATTTAAATCAAAGTTTCCTAAGACATGCATAGGAATGTGTGGTAGACAAAACATCTTGGAAGCTAAGTAACATTTGAAATCGCGCTTTATAAAGTGGATTTTGAAACTGAGAAAGTCAGCTAAAGTAAACGCCACACTAATCCAAACACCAGTTTAGAAAGTTCTGGGATGGATTTTCTATCCTAAGCTAAACCCAACTTAGCTAGCAAGCTAACTTGTGCTTACTTCAATGGCAAAGATATGCTTTACTGTACAGCTGTGTCTCAGCACAAGGAAACAGTCACAGTTTTTAACTCATGACTAAATAAACTTTAATCATTTTTTTACAACAACTGAACTTATTACTGTTACCTGGTGGAGCTGAGAATATTCCAGAAGACGTGGCTTCCATCTTTGTTGTCTTTTCTCTTTTGTTCTCAAGGCTAGAAAAACACCCGAGCGACACAAACTAGCAGGAAATATGTGAAAATATTCAACACACTCAATGTGTTACAACGTTCACATGTTCTGGATGGTTTTCTATAGTATGTCCAGTCAGAAATATGAAGTAATTTGGTGACGAAATACATTTTGTGTGAATATACAAGAAATACTAAAGTAAAGAAAGAAGGGAAGAGAGAAGAAAAGATCTAACAAATTCCTTCTGCTTTGATCTGTTCCCTCGTCTGCATGCAGGAGATTTCTTCATAGGTGAAATTCCTAGTGCAGACTTGTATGTGTTGGCCAGAGTCATTCATGACTGGCCTGAAGAGAAGTGCCTGGAGCTGCTGAAGAAGATCTATGAGACTTGCAAGCCGGGTGAGTTCCCCCGTAACCATTGGCTGGCCAATGAGTCGTCTCTGATTTTCTTAATTATAGGAAATCGGCCCATATTTGACACTACTGCGCGTGTTGGTAACAATCTTGCCAATTTAGAGACTTTAGTGCTATATTTAATGACTTTTCAGATGAAAAAAGATCAACATCTGCTTGAATCGGAGTCGGCAGAGCAGGGCTTTTAAAGATCGATTATCGGCCAGAAAAGTGGAATCGGTTCACCATACCAGGAACACGAGTTATACGAGACTGGTGTCATTTAAACGGAGCAGGTGTGGTCAGCTCAGTGCATTTTGTCGTCCTCCCACCAGGTGGAGGTGTCCTGCTGGTGGAGGCGCTGCTGTTTGAAAACAGACGAGGGCCCATCATGGCGCAGATCTTCTCCCTCAACATGCTGGTGCAGACGCAGGGCAGGGAGCGCACCCCGTCCGAATACACTCACATGCTCAACCAGTCGGGCTTCCGCAACATCCAGATCTGCCGGACCGGGAAGTCCTACGATGCCATCTTGGCCGTCAGATGAGCACGGAAATACTCTGCGCGTCCCGATGGGGAAACAATGAGAGCACTGGTTTAAAATCTTGATTTAGAGTTATGAGATGTTGTGTTGGGGGTTAGGAGACGTAAACGTAAAACTTGAACCTTTGTCAAAAGAAATCTTGTTCACTCAGCTCTTGGATTTGGGTCATAGTTCAACCTTCTCACCTTCTGTGATCCACTTCCTGTTCACTGTGACAATGCCTGGCTCCTTCTTAATCTGCATATTAATCAAGTTCCTCGTTGTTTGTTCAGAAAATAATTTCCGATTATTCATCACTGTGACACTGTTTACTACCAGCCTCTTGGAGGTGCTTTTATGGTTCTACTTTAACCTGGTGCTACTTTGTAAAACTTGGTGCAAATCCTTATATAACTGAACAAACTTATCTACATTTAAAGACTGTTTACAGTGTATCGGCTTCAAAAAAGCTGCAGATGGGTGTTCATGTTGAATAGAAGGTTATAAAACAGTTCAGGAGTGGAGGTGAATTCTGTTTGTGTATCAGTGGTTCAAGTCTGTATTTGAAAAATCAACAGATGGGTCACAAATATCCTCCTTTCTAAATCAGCACATTGTACTCCGAGACTGTTTCTGTGTCCCCTAGAAATTAAAGAAAGCTGTCATATGCATTGCAAATTTCCCTTTATAAAATGTAGAAAACTTTTTTTTTTTTTGGTGACTGACTATGTATTCCTAGATTTTTTTCTATATTATGATACTCAAAAACATTGCTTCATTTTAAAATTCTTCTTAGTTTAGTCATTTATGTACTTATGATTTCATCTCATTATTTGAATCGGTAACGGATCTCATTTCACAGCTTATAGCTGTCTTATGAAGTTTCTGCAGTGAAATGAGCAAATTCTTCCCTGTTTTGCCAGTTCATCTTTAACAATAACTTATTAGTTCAGTTCAGCCAGCTTGAAATGAACCAGTCCATGTTCATAGTTCACCATAGAAACATTTGGAGTTAACATGAATTAAGTGTCATACACACATACAAAAGAATGATGCTCAAATGTAGTGTATCCACACTTAATTGTTGCACATAGTGAATAAGGGGCTTGAAACTGAACCCGAGTTAATCCTCAAATTTGATGGACAACTATTGAGAGTGGTTGGAGGGATTCTGCTGCCATCCTGCGGTGAACATGCGCTCCTGCAGCCCGTGCTGGGTAACCTCCTCCCCGGGCGCCGCTGCTCTGTGTTTGTGTATGTGGAATGCGGGTCAAGCGGAACTCAAGGCAAAAACTGCGCTTCACATCAAACTCAAACACCGGCTTGCATCCCTCGGACGTGTTCTGTACGTACCGTGCTATTTTCGTAAACCGTATGAACCTGCGTGCATTTGTTAAACATGTTTATATCGGGGGCATTTAACTGAGTTTATATTTCTGTTATGGTCGCACGAGCAGTCCGCTAGGAAAACGCGACGTCGTCATTTAAAATGGCGCCAAAGATTAACCTCAGCCAGTTCATCTTCGATAAACACACCTTACTGTAACCCGCTTTCGTAGCCACACAAATAACGAAACCCTGGCTCTACTTTGACGAATACCCATCATTCACACGCACATTTTAACTTTAGAGAAACGTGTTTGAGTGCAAGTTTGACCCCTAACCTTTGACGGATAGGAGGCTGTTTCTGTTTTTGAAATGAGGGGCACCGTGGAAGCTATGCTAGTGGCAGCGGCTCGCTGCTAACAGCGTTGGAACTGACGTTTGTTAGCCTCCTGCTAACGAGCTAGCTGCGGTTGCTAACACGCAGCACCGGCTGAATTGTGTTTCCACTCTTGAAAACCTTCGTAGTTAGAAGCGGTTTGTTGTATGTCATGTTGTTGTGATGCAGTCTAACCCACTGTGTATGCACTTTAATTAGAAAAACACAGTAAGCCTGAAGATATTTCCACTTGATGCACCGGGAGTGGGTGGGCCCTTAGGTTGCATAACGGTATGGAGGAAAAAAGCAACCAAGCTGGTATTCGACAGTATTTATTTTCCGTTCTAAACTAACAAATGTGGATGGCGTAAAAGTAACCCCCCCTAAACAGTATTGATGTTCACAAGTATTCTCTTCGCATGCAAGATGAAGTTAGACCAAGTGGAACGCAGATGTTTACTACATGTAGCTGCCAGTTACGTTGGCACCGTCACAGTCCTGAAGCTGGCGTCCGATTCGAATCTTCATCTTCTGCATTTTACTAAAGGATTATTCTGATGTTTATCATCCCAGGACACACTGGAGTCCTGAAATACTCAACAGTTCATGTCCAAACTTGCATGACTTTTATTGAATTTATGAAAACAGGGAATTAGTCATCCTGGGATGCTTTTTGTTTCCATTTTCTGTTACTGATGAGCACGTGAAGTCACAGAAAATTGCCTATTAATTTTTTAATTAAATTTTGACAAATTCAAATGTGGCTTCATCAATTCCCCAAAAAATATTTTAGCGAATCTGTAAATTATGTGGATTGTTTCTCTGTCCTGGTCAAATGTTCACAGTGTAATTCAGATGAAGCCTTTCTGATGTGTTCTCAAGCAAACAAACAAAACAACAAGAGCCTTTTTTAAATGCTGCACATTAAATGAAGGTTTTGAAAGATCACAAGCTGTATTTCATGCAGCGTGGCAAGAATTTAGAATAATTCTGCTCCGGTTTGGTGTTTGTAAGTCGTGTAGTTTTTCCACTGCAAATTCAGAAATATTTTATTGATCCCAAGGGGAAACTGATTGTTGTTGTAACTCAAATTAATTCAAGATTCTTCAGAGAAATACAGATGGTGATGGCTGTGGGCAGGAAGGCAGTGGGCAGGAAGAATCTCCTGAGGCGGTTTGTATCTGAGATGTCCTCTCTGTTTTTAGATCATGTAGTGACTCGTTCACGTCTGATCATCCTGGGCGTTTTAGATTCTGACCTGTAATCGAATCAGATTTTAATCTTGAGGTTTTAAATGAAGCGGTTTGGAGCCGTCAGTCAAGACCAGAGACTCCGAATCGGAGGCCAACTTCGGCATCGGTTGTGGTGCCTGCGTGCAGGACGAAGGGGCGTCACACAAACCGGAGCTAGCTTCGGTGTCCTAGCCTAGCATGCTAATGTAGGGTTAGCACCTTTCCTCGCTGGGCAAACCCCCTCCCCCTGGTATTTTTCCACCTTTCGGGGTATATGAGTCAATGCTGATTTTTTTTATTTTTTATTTTTTTTACTATGTGACGTTACGTTGGGTCCATAAGTCAGTGCGGCGCCGCGCTGTTTACGTCGCGCGGGGAAACGTGTGGAAAGTTACCTTGGGTGTGTAAACATTCGTGACGCCGTGTAATCTCCAAGGAAACATGTGATGCTTGTTTTTAGTGTCGACCCACTTCACGTTCCGACGTTAAAATGTCCACCTCCAGTGAGCAGAAGTGATCAGACACCGAGGGGAGGCGTTGGCGCTGCTGGCTCCTCTGCGAGGCTTCTGGAAACATCCCGCTGTTGATATTTTGATGCCTTGCGATGTTGCGTAATCTCACTTACTACCCATTGAAAACTAACGTGGACGTGGAGCCCAGTTGACCGATTGCGTACTAACCGTCTGCAGGTCCCTTTTGCATCGCTAATGTTTGTCCCTTAAGTGTTTAATATCAACATTTGTTTGCCTTGATACATATTTTAATTGTCCAGGTATTTGTCTTTTCAGATTGTGAAAGGGTTTTTTAGTGTCCTCTGTTGTGGTTGTTGTCGCTTGACATGGTGGGTTTTGTGTGCAGAGTCCTGATGCCGGAGCTCCACAGACAGAAGACCATGAAGAGAAGCAGACACCCCAGCAGCAGCGATGACTCGGATAATGGAAGTAAGCAAACCTGCCTCCTCTGAGTCACCTGAACAGAGCTCTGCTGTTGTTTGCACCTCCGTGCCAGAGTGTGCACTCTAAAGTACATTTGTGCAAATGTTTTAGTTTTTTCTTCAGCACTTTGCAGTTATTCCTTCTTCTGTGAGTGAAAATAGCATGTTTACAACAGTAATGCACTTGCATAGCAAGGATTGGAGTCTTAAAAATCTTTCAAACTTGACCTCTTATTTTACATTTAATCATGTGCTCAATCAGAACGTTTGCTAATTTATTCCTGGTTTAATTTTCTTTTGCATTAAATACATTTCTGCTATTGCAATGAAAATCTTACATCCTCCATGACTAACTTATAAGGCGGTCTATGTTTTATAGTGTTTTGCTTTTAAACAGAGCTTTTAAATAATTAGAAAACTTATTTTATTTTTTTCCTTTTTTCTTTTACCCTTCCACAATTACGTAAATCTGTAAATGAAAAATAAATATTCTAACCGTACTTAATGTTTTAGCTGATCTTTGGTTGTCAGTTCTCTCCAGCTGAAATATTAGCACACAGAACTGAGACTGTCACCGCTCACAATAACAAATCTAACTGGACAATGAATTGTGCCAGAAATCATTGCAATAAGCAATAAGATTGTTGTTTTGAGTAACGTAATGATATAATGACGCAAGTTTGCTCTCTCAAAGATTGATAAACTAATTTAGGAAAGAACTAGAAGACATTTTGAACATCCAAAAATAAAATAGAACAATAAAAAAGGAACTAAAAACCAGACACAACCGAAACTTTAAATAAAATAGACTATTAAACATAATTGCTTCATCAGAATGGAAATTATGTAGCTCATTTTAATTTGTCACCCGATTAACTGATTAATGCGTTCATGCATGTTCTCTCATCTTCCATATAGGCTTCCATGTAATGTTACAACCATAAGAGAATAGATTATATAATTTTAGCATCTCTGGCTGTTCTGTGTAAACAAAGTGAAACTAATATTTACGCACACACAAAAAAAAAATCCATTATGCCGTAACTCTCTCATGCCTCATCACATGAACACATACATTTCTACTGAACCCTCAGTCACATAAGAGCTGCAGTAATTCCCGGCTTGTCAGCTGTTGCATGTTTTTCTCTGCTTAAGCTTTCAGAAATTGCGTAAGTGTCCTTTACATTGTTGATCTTGGACCCACTTTACTGGTTTGCATGTTTCTGTCAGAGTAAGTCTGTACTCCATATTTAGGATGTAAGAAAAGAAAGAGAAACAGGGTCAAGAAACGGACACGGGTAAAAACAAAGCGAAGGAACAACGTCCGCATGAGACGCAGGAGACAGACTAGGACACGTGTTTGGACCTTTAAAGACATCCTGACAGGTCAGACAGGCAGACAGGCTCCAGTAAGACCTCAGTGAATCAGTTCAACAACACCTTGTGATTTGTTTTCTGTTATCATTCTGTTGTTAGCTGTGTCAGGGCATCCAATTTCCCTCTCTTATCAGAGAATACAGAACAATTTGAAACAGTTTGCAGCCGATCAGAGTGCTTTCTCTGCTCTCATGTCTTTTAAGTTCAGACTTAAAGCCCAGTGTTGTCAAGATCAGATTGGGAGCAGAGATATCAGTTGAAGTGTTTTGGCTGCTCAAACAGACGCTGAGGCTCATCTTCGATCCGTCCTGGAGGAAATCCAGACGCTTTCCAAGCAGAAAAAAAACCTGCAACCAATCAACTCTTGTTATGTTTCAGGTAATTCTACCTGCTGGTCTCAGCACTCATCGCAGCACCGGAGGGGAACCGGGCAGAAACCCTCTGAGGTAAGACAGCTTGGTCGTATTACAGCAAACCAACAGGCCCTTTTCACATACATGCATTTCATTGTATTTTATGGAATAAACCAAGAAAAGTAATGCATACGAGCCTAAAATCTACAGAAAAAGTGGAAAAATCTTCCTAAAGAAACCATTGTTGAAGTCGTGTTTGCACAACAAACATGGAAGAAGTTGTTTTGCTCAGACGAAAGCAAAATAGAAATTAAGTGCACAAACACTTGGACTGCTTATCCCCCATGAACGCACCATCCACACAGAGACAAACGGTGGTGACAGCATCGTGATATGCAGGAAGCTGGAAGGAGTCGATGAGAAGATGCATCTGGAGCGTGGTTTAAAAATCACTCTAGATTCTCCACAGCCAATGTGACTGGACTTGAAAGTATTCAGCAAACAGATTGAACAAATAACTTCCAGACAGAGCTGCTGTAGACAGACACAATGCAGTGAGAGGCACTCCCATACATTTTATAACCTGGCCGATCTGCTGACCTATACTAGTAGAAAAAAAACAAAACACTTGAATAACTTATTACTGTAATTCTATCAAAATAATCCACGCATATGTGGTTGTGACTGGACAAAATGGGAGAGTTTGATAATGCAATTTATTTATTGAAACATCAGTAAAATGAGACTTTGTTGTGTTCCACTGGTTTCATTGTCCGTACAGCAGGACTCACTATCTAAGACCCACAGAGGATGAAGGGTCCCACTGCTGGAAACATTTCTCCTCTTATCTGCTCTACAGTCTGGAGTGTTAGTTCCATGCAAGCCACAGCCAATTAGATCAAAGCATAGCAATAGCTCCTCCCATTTCAGCCTTCTGGTTGGTTCATCCACAAGGCGCAGGATTCAAACACTTTGGCTTTAGTTTTTAACTGTTTTGAGGCTTTAGGTTTGCTCAGAGTGGTACTGAGAAACTTGAACAAGTTTTAAATACTATAATCAGCTCACGTAGTCACGTCAGAGGACTATAGACACGCTGCATGTTATTGTTTACATCTGGAAATGTAAAGAATAACATTTGTTATTGGAGGGCATGCGCACAATGCTGGAGGGCAGAAAGACTATTCATTTAGTTTCCGTCTACGGAATTCTGTCAACAACATGAAACCTGGATATTTAGGTGTTATTAATTTAGTGCAGTGCGCCGCCACAAATTGAAAATAACGCCGAAAAACCAGAGAAGAACAACTGTGTTCTATACAGATGCGTTTCCATAGCTGGCTGAGCTGTCCACAGTCAGATTAAGTTCTGTCAGGATTCAACACAAAAAAGTCATGCAGACATTTTCCACATAAATAACACTGTCTGTTTCAGTTTTGTGCTTTCAGGCTTGATGTTTATTTTGCGACTATTAATAAGTAATTGTCTGAATACAGTGGTGGTTAATTAGCTAATTTAAACATCTGTTCTACTGATCAGTCAGAGTATGCCTCTTTTTCTTTTTTCTTTGTTTCCGTCTGTCTTCCTTTCTTTCTTTCTGAACTGCACCAAAACACACTGAATTCTGCACGTCTTCATGTTAAGATTGTCAAAGTCAAGCTAGCATAACTGACCCACTTCCCTCTTCCTTGCTATTTTTAATTTTATTAAAACATTTTCCTGACTGACTAACTGTGCGGAACTTATAGAAAACATTTTTCTTTTCTCTATCACGCATACATTTAAGATTCACTGTGCTATGTTGACAACATAACCAACAGTAATTACTGACAACGATCAGCTTTTTGGCCTCCGGCTTTTAATGTGTCTGTAGGAGGAAACCAGGGCTGGATAAAAACAGTTCTTAAAACGGATGGAGATGATTCTCTTTCTGTCTGGCAGGTTTTTAGGACAGACTTCATCACAGCCATGAAATTACACGACTCGTACCAGCTGAATCCAGAGGATTACTATGTCTTGGCTGATCCATGGAGGCAGGAGTGGGAGAAGGGTGTCCAGGTCCCTGTGAGCCCCCAGTCCATTCCCCAGCCTGTGACCAGGTAGGCCAACTGCTGACGGGAGTCTCTGTTTATCTGTCATCTTCCGTCTGGGGCTGGGCGATCAATCGATTTTAGCAGTTTACCAAAGTTTTGTTTTTTGAACATTTAATTTGAGGAAAATCTGAATTTTAAATTTGTTATTTTTTTCACCTTTGCTCTCCTTGTGTTTCTATATTTAAAAGTGATGTCAGCACAGCCAGGGTCGCCATCTTGTTTGACAAACGTGTTTTACAGCTTCTGGTTATTTGGACTTTGAGTTCAGGCCAGCTCTATAACGCAGTGTTGGGCCAGGTTCAGAGTTTAATTTATTAATTATTAGAATACAGTCATAACATTAGGAGGACAGAACAGTGATTTTATGACAACTACAACGAGAAAAGTAACAATCAATTAAAATGAGGAATGTTGAGCATTTTATACTTTAAGTTTTACAGATAATAATCAATAGAAAAACTTTTAACACATCAGCATCAAATTATTATAAGTATCAGAACTTTAAAACAATTTTGTAAACAACTGAGTCTATTTCAAAGAACCACAAACTGGTGACATCAGATCCTGATAACTGTCCAGGCGCTTCTCATTAAAATAACTTTTCCTTGAAATTTTGAAAGTTTTTAAAAATGTTTTAATCACTATATTCTTGAAATTGAGCAAAATTTCCAGTAGTTTGGCGCTAATACTCCGCCGTAGAACTCACAGAAGGGATAACTGAAATTAAGAAATTATTTGATTGTCTTTTCTGTCATTTATGACTACTTTTTTTAGAAAAGGAAAAAAATACATCAGTTGGCATAAAAAAATAAGATTTTATTTTTAAGCTCGCTCTACTTTCATCCCATGGTGCATTGAGCAAATTTCAATTGGAAAACTAGTTCAACTGTTTTTTCTTTTTGTTTAGCATTTACTATATTATGGGTGTACGTAGAGTTCTGGCGGAGAAGGGGAAGGAGGTGATGTTCATCAGGCCTAAGAAGCTGATCCGGACGTCGGGCACGGAGGCGCTGGGCTACGTGGACATCCGCACGCTGGCGGAGGGGATGTGCCGCTACGACCTGAACGAAGAAGACGTGGCCTGGCTGCAAATCATCAACGAGGAGTTTGCACAGATGGGTGAGCTGCGGACTCCACAGAACAGCCCAGAAATCCATATGATCAATAATACAAAAAACAAAAAAGCTACTCAAAGACGCCGTAGACCGATCCAACCGACCGATTCACATTTGAGCAAACAGAAAAGCAGACGAATCTGTAACAGAGCAAACCTCCCACATGACGTTAGCCATCGCTATCTAGTTAAACATTAGCTTCAGAGACAGTCTGAGCTTCCCTGTCGAGATGCGCCACTACACGCCTGATCCAACGCAAATCATTTTAGTCTGCACTGAGTTTTTATTTGTCACTTATGAGTCAAATTAAGAGTAAAAATAGTAAGTCAACGAATGGAAACACATGCTGGAGATAAGTAGTTATGATAAAAATACTGCAAGCATGGATCAAAAATACACACTTCCATAAATGATATGAATGTCTTTATTAAGTCTTATCTTGTTGACTGTTTTAAAACATATCTTTAAAACATGTTTTTCCAAATCAGGGTTGAATTGTTCCCTACTTGTTGGTTTTGCTGTAAATAACCAACTGAAAACAATTGTCTTATTACATAAGTAATCCTATTTTTGCTCAGAATGTATATAATCCCGTTCCCTCAAAAAAATGTTTCCACCGCATCAAAAATGGTTTAGGGTGTTATTATTTTCGGTATCGGTAGCAAATTTCAGCATGGTGTCGATCCTGCTCTGCAGCCGCTCACTTTTATTTCTTGCCTTCAGGAATAATTTAAGATATTTGCATTTTGTTTTTTTGCTGTGAGAACATCTGAATGTTTCCTCAGAAAGGATCGATTTTATGCTGTGATTAAAAGCTAGTTTTCTTCGGCTCCAGGCATTTTGGCAACGTGGATAAATTACTGAAAAACAAACATGAACGTGTGCACACGCAGCCCTTTTCCGGGGATTTGTGAATGGACATGTCCCAGGTTGTTGTAGAGTAGGTGATAATGGTTTCTTTATAGTCCAGACTTTACACTGATGGATGCCAAACTCACCGTCTGTTAGATGGGTTTCCGTTTCTTTCATGACATCCAACTAAAACCAAGACGCGCACATGACAAGGAAGAAGCTGATTGTCACTAGCGTGTGTTTGCAGCGATGCCGCCGCTGGACGAGAACACCATGGAGAGAGTAATGGAGGAGTTTGAGCACTGCTGCCACGAAAACATGACCCACGCCATGGAGACGGAGGAAGGGCTGGGCATCGAGTACGACGAGGACGTGGTGTGTGACGTTTGTCAGTCGCCGGACGGAGAGGACAACAACGAGATGGTGTTCTGCGACAAGTGCAACATCTGCGTTCACCAGGTCAGAGGTCAACACTGGAACCACTGAAAGCAGAGTCCAACCTCAAGGTTTATATTAGGGCTGGACAAGAAATGATTAATATATACTGTAATCGACACATGATCAATATCAATAGGTAATAATCAATGTATAGAACAGCCACTGAACTCTGATCCAGAATCCCACAGCATCTGGGACTCTGTGGTTACCTAGCAACAACTTACCATCGCTCCTCACAACTGCTTCAAAATAAAAACAACAGCGTGGATGAAACAGGAAACGTCACGCCTCTAGTTTGGCTTTCTGTCACAGATTTCAAAAAACTAAAATAACATGTCAATAATTACCTAAATGGATTGATATGAAACATTTGGACTTTATAATAGAGCCATATCGTCCAGCCCCACTTCATATAGTTCTTACATTTTGAAAATGTGAAATATTAAAGGTTTTATAGCTCATATTTTTATGAAAGCTGGCCTTGATTTTCACATTTGGTTGTAAAATGTTGACAGACTTGAAGTCATAGACTCTGTTGGTCTATGAAAAATCCAGGTACATGTATTTCAATTTTGGTCCATTATTTTGTTAACAGGCTTTTTATGTTCTGGATATATTTGGTATGTTTTGAAAAGAAAGCAGAATCTGAAATATGACCTCAGTGCTAAAGGTCAAAACTTCACATTTTGATCAACAGTGGAGAAGTTATTTAATCACACCGAGGGGCTTTTATTTGAGTTTTGGTGAACATTACAATGAAGTAAAATGTCTTATTTTGATTTAATTAGGTGTGTGTGTGTGTGTGTTTTGAATTCCTCCCTGTTTTCCGGTTGCCCGTAACCAGGCATGTTACGGCATCCAGAAAGTGCCAAAAGGCAGCTGGCTGTGTCGGATCTGTGCGCTCGGCATCTTCCCAAAGTGCCAGGTGTGTCCTAAGAAGGGCGGAGCCATGAAGCCGACCCGCAGCGGAACCAAGTGGGTTCATGTCAGCTGTGCCTTGTGGATCCCAGAGGTGAAGCTCCGCCAATTCTACTCATTCTGTTCATCATCTGGGGCGATTTCTTTTCTTTTCTTTTCTTTTCTTTTCTGTTTTTGCAGTTACTACTTTTTTCATTCATATAAACTTGTGCTGGCGTGCGGTTGCGTGTATCTGCGTGTTCCAGGTGAGCATTGGGAATCCAGAGAAGATGGAGCCGATCACCAATGTGTCCCACATTCCCAGCAACAGATGGGCTCTGATCTGCTGCCTGTGTAAGGAGAAGACCGGAGCCTGCATCCAGGTAGGCCTCTCCTCTCCAAACCAGCCTGGCTACCGGTTTCAGTCAGAACATGGAATATTCTTATTTTCTCCTAAACTGAATTTAGCGTGCTCATTATCTGTGATCCATAATCATCAAAATGACAAGAACTAAAGCCTTGAATTAGGGGCGATTATTGTAGCAATCGATTATTTTGACGATTAATCAGAACAAAAACTGTTTTTTTTTTTAAAGGAAATTAGAAATACTTTTTTATTTTAAGTGTTTCAATTAGAAATACATTAAATATCCAATAAACAAATTAGTTTTTTAAATAAGAAAATAAACACATTTTGTTGTCTAAAATTGCTTTTTTTTTAGCAAACTCTTGATCATCTACAGCTAATAAAAACCCACCTCTGCCCTTTCTGCTTGACATAGTGTGCAGCTGATCTATTAAGCATTTTCTGGATTAACTGATTAATAACTGAATAGCAAAATAATCTTAGTGTCAGATTTTGTATTTTGCAGAATTTGAACCAGGTGAAGCTGAAACTGCCACTAGAGGAGATCTGTGTAGAACATAAGTAAAGACAAATGTTTTTACTTTAAGTGCAAAGTTCATATATATATATATATATATATATATATATATATATATATATATATATATATATATATATATATATATATAGTATAGTTTTAGATTAGTTACACTGTTCTTTCAGTAAATAGCCTTTCTTTTGAGTCTGTGTGCTCCAGTTAACCATTGATTCCTAAATTAGTTGGCGATTGTTTCAATAACGATTAATCGTTTCAGCCCGACCTTGAGACATGTAGAATCTGTTGAATGTTCAGTCTATATATCGAGCAAATGGTTTTAGTGCAGAGCGAAGGCCGTCTTTAATGAATGCATTTTCCGGCGTCAGTCCGTCTGAATCCGTTTCGTTGCGATTTGCTCTCCAGTGCTCTGCGAAAAACTGCAGGACCGCATTCCACGTGACCTGCGGCCTCCAGGCCAGCCTGGAAATGAACACCATCCTCACGGAGGACGACGAGGTCAAGTTCAAGTCGTACTGCCCCAAGCACTCCGGTTTCCAGGGAGACCTGGCGCAGGACGAGGGGAAGGAGGAGGCGCGGGCGAACAGCGACCAGGAGAAGAGGGTCAACCTCCGCAAACTGAAGCTGCAGGAGATGGAGGAGGAGTTCTACCAGTTCGTGGACGTGGAGGAGGTGGCCAAGAGCCTGAAGCTGGCGCCGGAGGTGGTGGACTTTGTCTACCAGTACTGGAAGCTGAAACGCAAAGCCAACTTCAACCAGCAGCTGCTCACCCCCAAGAAGGACGAGGAGGAGAGCCTGGCCCGGCGGGAGCAGGAGGTGCTGCTGCGGCGCCTGCAGCTCTTCACACACCTCAGGCAGGACCTGGAGAGGGTAGGTCTCCACTCGCTCCGGATGAAGACTCACAGGGCGGCCGGCAGCAGAGGCAGGGTTAATAACAGGAGGAAGTATCACAGAAACATCTGAAAATAAATGGGAATAAATCAAGTTTTTCAGCACAACGTGTTCCTTGTGAATTCTAAGCTAGATTGAAGAGGGACGCAGGCAGCACCAGAGCAGGAGGAGAGGGGAAACAAAGTGTTTGACAGAATATTTACAGCAGTCAGATTTCAGTGCCCAGCCTTCCTGCAGTTATCATGGCCACAGATGGGAGCAGATAAACAGTTTTCCTGGAACGGTTAGTTGTTTTTCTGACATCGCAACATGTAGCGAAGTGTACACAGGCATGATTGACAGCGTTAAGACCCGCCTTCAGTCATCTTTTGAGATCCCGACTCATTTTCTTTCAGAAATGATATTCTTGGTTAAACTAAAATAATGTTAAACCCAACATGAGCTTAAATAATTCACAGCCCATGATCCATGTGGACCATGTTGGATTTGACGTATTTCCAAGTTAATAAAGATATGAATGCTAACCACACTGACGTAAGATGTTAGCGACTCCAACTCACACTGTGTAACGTCTCCCCTGATCCCACTATAAATAACTGATCAACAGCCAAACCCTGTGTGGGGTTTTTCATCTGTTTTAGGGTCATGTTGATGAATCTCATTGGTTTTGCTCAATCAGGTCGACTTTCTGAACTATGGAGCAACATGAGCATCAAAATGCAGGACTTGTTCTGACATCTGGATCAATGAGTGATGAGCAGGAGGAGAGATTCCATCAGGACAGAAAAGAGTCTGAGAATTTATCAGAACAAAAACGCAATGTTTGATTTATATCATCAGTGGTTGTTATTCAATTTATAGGAATCCAAGTTTGTAGCATTTAATTTATACACTCTGTTAGAAAGCGTTTTTTTTGTCCTAAAACCGTTTTTTGGATGAGAAATATTAATGGAAATGAACTGATGGTTTAAAAAAAAAGGAACTTAGTCAGAAGATGATTTCTCTGAATGAATTCAGAATAAAAACCTGATTGAGAAAAATTGATGTCGTTTGCGGTTCAAAATGATCCTGATTCATTTGAAAAAACATCGACGACTTCCAAGAACATGTTTTTGTAACCCAGTGTTATGAATGGCAGCTAACTCACCGTAGCATTTTTGTGTGAAAAGCTTATACATGAGCTTAATTGACAGCGCTAAGACCCTCCTCCTTACTCTGATTGGTTGTTTTTCCGTCCAGAGCCGTTCATTGCTACAGATGGCAATAGTAGCACTGGGACTGGCCAGACTTTTTTTCAAACAAATGTGTAAAAACAAAAAACTATTTTTAATAAAAGCGACGTCCTGCAGCTTTAACAGTTTGTTAGCCTGACCGCGCTGTCCACTCAGAAGAGGCAGTGTGTTGCTGTGGAAACGCTGACTGTTGCTGCTCCCCCTGCAGGTGCGCAACCTGACCTACATGGTGACCCGGAGGGAGAAGATGAAGCGCTCACTGTGGAAAGTCCAGGAGCAGATATTCCAGCACCAGGTCCGCCTGCTGGACCACGAGCTGCTCAACGGTGAGTCCAGTCCAACGCAAGAGTCCCGCGCGCTGAGCTACAATTAAACCACACTTCACTAACCAAAGCTGGCAGTCACTGAAGCTGTGCGTGGTTCTGCGTTCCAGGTGAGCCGTCTGCTGAGGACCTGGAGAGGCTCTTCTCTCTGGGTTCCTTCTCCTCTGACGGAGGCCAGTCCGGCTCCTCCTGGAGCAACTCCGGCCTGAAGAGCAAGCGAAGTTCGCTAAAGCAGGAAAGGAGGAAAAGCCTGTCGGACTCGCCAAGCGTTCACAGGAAGGACGGCGCTTGCAGCCCGCTGGACATTAAAGACAGCAAAAGCTCCCACATCCAAGAGGCTGCGGCCACAGAGTCCAAAGGCGAAGCCAAAGTCCTCCAGCTTGAAGTGAGCAAGGAGAAGCCTTTCCTAAAGCTCCAAAAGGTCATTCAGGAACACGCCTCAGTGAAGCTGCACAAGCCCGAGAGCAGGAAGGGCCCCAGGAGAGAAACCCCGGGACCAGAGTATGAAGTGCCGGGATGCCACAAGCAAGATCCAGAGCCGGAGGAACGAGGGAGGAAGAGAAGGAGCGACGTTTCCGAGAGCTTCCCCTGCCAGCTGAAGAACAAGTTCGGCTCCAAGCATCTGGATAAAACCGTCTCCATCCGGCTGGTCGACATCAGGAACTCTGACTCCGACGAGTATTTATTTGACGACGCCGCGACCAGAAGGAGCGTCGCTTCGCCGGACGCGACACCCAACACTAAGTTCAAACCCAGCTCGGTTTCAGACGCCTCCAAAGCCAGCAGCTGGCTCAGAAAAGCCGCCGCCGGCGGCTCCCACGCCCCCAACGGCTCCGCGTCCGGACACCTGAAAGGCTGGGGGAAGTTCCGGATCCCGAAGCGGGCCGACAAGCCTCCGAGCGCCACGGCGAGGGAGCGGGAAGAGCTGGAGCCGAGCGACCCGCTGCTCAGACCGCTCACCAACGCGCCGGCGTACCCCAGAACGCGGCTCCGGTCGGGTCCGGAGGCCGACGGCTACAACTCCGACTCCAAGCCGGCCGACGGCGAGCTGGAGCCCTGCCTCAAGCGATGCCACTCCCACGAGCTGAGGGGCGACTCGTCGCTGGGGCGTCGCTACGGCTCTGACATTATCCGCCGCGGCGTGCTAGCATCCTGATAAGCTACACGACGCTAATCAGAAACGAATGACTGTCACTCTTTGTACCTTTATTTTGTCTAGAAATCATAAAAAGAACAGATGGAGGAAGAAAAAGAAAACAACAACAAAAATAAACAGAGCTGATATTTATTTTTTATTTGTACCATAATGTAAAACTGGGAAATATTTGACTTTATTTTGAGCTAGTTAGTTTATTTTGGATTATTATTATTATTTTTTTGTTTGTTTAGGTAGAAACTTGTCAAGTTGCCACTTAAATCGCTTGCTCAGATATATACAAGCAAAAGCATCAACTAGGAAGATGTTGTGATTGTTGCTTGGGACCATAAACTTGCAATGTCATTTGTGTTTAACATAGTATTATCAAAGTGGACCGAGTCGCTCGCCGGTCCGGCTCCAACATATAATCCTGATCCTGTCAGCCAGTTGGACTCTGTAGGTCTGTTTATTTCTTCTTCTTTTAACCAGAAATCATCAAATCTTCACAGTCAAAAACCAGGAAGTCCAGCCGCCCCTTTTTCTTCAGATTTAGTCTCATCAGACTGCAGGCGTCGCGCCGAACGAACTGGGAACCTACAGAGGAAATCAAAGAATGATGTTTTACACGTCATCAGCACTTAAGTGTAATTGAACTGCGATCGTATCCATCATGTGCCTAACTTTTATTTGAAGCGTTTGCACTACGAGAGGATGGCACAGGGGGGGAGGGCACGAGAAGAGATATTTTTACACTGAAAAATGACAGAAGCATTTTGTACCCTCGGCCGCTGCTGTACTACTGTTATGCAAAAGGAGTTCTTGTGAGGGGGCTTGTTTGGAAGAGAAATTAAAAAAATACTCTTAAAAATCAAATGTGTGTGACGACTGAGAGCTTCGAGACAGATTCATGTGGTGGTGCACTGATTGTGTTTTTTGGTGCTGGTTTCCTTAATTCTGGGAGTTTGGTGATCAGTTGATTTTTACATGTGAAGCTGAGTTTATCAGCTGATCCATAAGGTCTAAAAATCAACACTGTCCTTTTGCTCTCTGGTGAGAGGTTGGGCTGACAGACCGGCCCACCGGGTCATTTGTTTTTATCCGTCTGGAGAAACTCCTCGTAGTTTAGTACTTTTGTTTTGCTTTTCTTTTAATTCATGAAAGGACCTTTGAAATGCCTTGTTGCTGATATTGACCTTCGTGTGGTAAGGTAAATAAAACTACCTTACCACACCAAAAGATAACATAGGTATTGGCCAAAATGGGAATCAGCAGGTCAACTATTTATATTAGGGCTGGGACTTCAGTGGGTAAAGATTCAATAATTGGATGAGATTTTATTGCCGTTCAATTTTTTGTTGTTACTAAAGTCACAAGCCGGAACCTTTGTATTGTGTTTCTGGTAGCCAGTAAATCTGACGCACAAGCAACATCCGCAAACAGGCGATGGAGCAAAACGCTGCTTCTGGTGGTTTTAATATACACAAATATTTAATACAAATATATTCATACAGATTAATGTTCTAAGTTTATTCTAGCTCCAAAAACTGATCTGATTGTTTTTCCAGTTGTGCTAAAAGCAGTTAGCCTATAACCAAAGCTATTCAAGGCTGAAATAGCATTTTAGTGCTAAACGTGTTGGATTAGCATCAATAACCTGAACAGATTAAAAGCAACATCTTTGCTGTTGAGCTCATGTCTAGCCAATAATTTAGCATTTTTAGGCCTGAAAATGTTTTTGTCAAATAATCTCTAGGATTTTCAGTGAAAGTGGATTTAAGCCACCATGACTATTCAACTTTCCCAAACTGCTCAAGTACATAAAATAATTACGTCTCAATTTAAACATCTGACCTGTTTGACCAAAACCAAAAGTCTGGAGTTGGAACCAAACTCCTGGATGAAAGGCTTCAAATAAACCAGGCAGAAGATGAATTTAATGGTTCCATCACTTTATTGCATGACTCACTAACAGATCCTGCACAAGTGTTTCAGCACTGCATTAAAAAAAAAGGGTCAAGAAATTGCATGATATTTACAATAGATGAATCACTATTACCACTTATACATTATGTACATATTAGTCTCTGGTTTGCTATGACAGTAGTTATAGAATGAAACGTCTACACACATGACACTTCAGCTCTACAGGGAATTACAGTGCTTACAAAAAAAATAATAATAGAGAAAAAAAAAATTAGAAAAACTGGCTGGACTACATTCAGTCAACAGAAGGTTAGGATGCATGATGGAACCGAGAAGAAACAGTGGAACCGCTGCCCCAGTGGATGAATCCCTGTTCGCCTCTTTGGGTGAAAAATAAATTAAAGACAAAATAGGCACAGCTAATTCAAAAAGGCATCCTTTTAAATCTGGGAAGCACTGTGTGAAAAAAAAAAACAAACCTCGGTGAGATCAGAGAGTATTGGAGACATTAAACATGAAATAATGATAAATGTAATGATCTGAAGGCTCCAACCAGCATCCGCTCCAATGTGCCTCTTCCAAACCAACAAAGGAAACTTTCAGACGCTCTGACCTTCCACGGCGAGTCGGGGCCACAGCAGACGCAGGAAAGAGTTCAATTTCTGCCAAAACTCAAATTACTTTTTTTTTTTTTTTAATTTCTTAGTTTGAAGAGACAAAACATTTGCCAGATAAGAACTTTAATTTCGGGAATTGGAGAAGAAAAGATTTGTACATTTTAGAATTTGAAGTCAAACTTTTGTAAAAAAAAAAAAAAAAAAATTTAAATAAATAAAAGTAATTTCAAAGTTGAACATTTTAAACTTTAGAAAGTCAAAGTTTCCAAAAGACAAAAATATTTGAAAATATTTTTCTTCAAAATGTCTGAGATAAATGTGAAAATTTTTTTGACTTTTTTCCTAGTAAATATTTAACTTTTGAAACTCAAATTCCCTTTTTTCTCCCAAAAGAGGAATAATAGAAAACTGTATTTTTTTAATTCTTTGGGCAGAAAGGTGCTGGATTTTTCCCCTGCCCAGCAACAACGGCCCCAATACGCCGTCCTACTTTCGTTCTGCAACAATCCGACAGGGCCAGAGGTCAAAGGTTCAGATTGACGAGCGGCAGAAGGTGGCGATGAGTAAAACAGAAAGGCTCAGAGCACCAGAATACCGACTCAATCCGAAACCGTCCCAAAACAAAACTGGGAAATATGTTCAGTTTAATATCCCAGCAGTTCTAATCGTACAGTCCAAACCGGAAGTTTCGCTTTAACCTCTGAAAACGTCGAAATTTAATTCACCTTTAGTTTGAAAAACTGTCTGCAGGATCTGGATGACAAAACGTGAAAAACGCAGGAAGTGGCGCTGAAGGGGTCACCACGGAAACAGCAACTCTCAAAGCAAAGTCGGGACGAGATGCAAGAGAACATTTAACCGCTTCGCTTTTACAGTTTTGATTATTGAATCAATAAATGATCTTGTTTTTTAAATGAAGCACATCAGCCTGAGGGGCCGGGCTTCTCAGTATTGACAGTAATCAGAGAACGTCAGACTTTAAAACCTCCTGAGGAATAATTCATAAAAAAAGAGCCGATCCAAATCTTTACATCAGCAGAAATCTCAGCAGACGACGGACACAGCGCCCTCAGTCAGGATGTGAAATAGTGATGATGATGATGATGGTCAAAGGGAGGATCGTCTGTAAACGCTGAAGCAGGAGGAGTTAACGGGTCGTGGTTCTGGTTCTGCTCTCGTTCCTTCATTGAGCCTCCTGTAGTGTTTCCCTCTCACACCAGTTCAACAGGTTTTCTTCTTCTTCTCTTTATTTTGTTCCATAATCTCCGCTATTCTGGAAAGGATCGTTTCCCCCTCCCCTTTTTATTTCCAGTGCTGTTATTAAAAACAAAATCTAAATAAAATATGTGAGCTAAAACAAAACAGCTCATAAAATTAAAACATGTCTACAGTTACATGATCTATGGCTACGAAGACGACCAGAGGCCCGTCCATAGTGTCCTGCTGCTCCATCTTCCATCTGGCACATTTGTAGATCTACAAAAAAAAGACTAAGCACCTGCATCCTGTCTGACGTCTTACGCTACTACAGCATTCATCGTTTTGGTTTTTTTTTTATTTTTCATTTTCATATAAACAAACAGAGATGTAAGAATAGAGCTCTGCTGTTGGCAGTAATGAATGGACTGAGATTCTAGTTGTGGCCGCACTAATCAGAAGTGAGTGATTATGATGCTGGATCTGGGTTGGTGGAAAGTCCAGCGGCGGCGTTTCCGGAGCTGATTTTGTGCTTTACCACAGACGGTCACCTCAGTGCAGACTAGTACAAGAAAACCTGAAAATTTTCAAAAGTTAAAAAAAAAAACAAAAAACAAAAAGGGAGGAGGCTGGAGGTCAATGCTGAGCGTGTGAGAGGTCAGCACCGTTCCCTGATGATGAATACGTACGGTGCCTCTGTTTGTGTGGCGGCGTACTGTTGCTGTGGAGGAGGGCCACTCTTCGGGTCGGGTCGGGTCGGGTCAGGCTTCCGGTGTTTTCCTCTTAGAGCCTTTGGTTCTGCTCTCCGCTCCGTCCGGCTTCCTGCAGCCTTTGGGGCGGCCGGCGCCGCTGGACTCTGATCCGGCAGTCCGGGCCTGGCCGGCTCCTCCCTCCGCGTCGTCGTGCTCGCCGCAGCAGAGCTCTCCCGCCGCAGCCCCGGGGCGCAGCGCCCCCTCCTGGTGGGCCCTGCAGAAGGAGTTGGGGCAGAGCTGGCAGAAGGCCTCCGAGTTTTTCCCGCAGACGTCACAGTGATGCCAGGGGCAGTCCCAGCGGCCTGCAGGGGGCGCAGGAGAGGAAGAGACAGAGCTTCAATATTCCAGGTTTGTTTTTCATGAGGGAATAAAATCAGAACACAATGAAAAGATGAAGAAAGTTGATTTTACCCAATAAAAGGACTCAGCTCACAATAACAGATTGTTGTCAGCAGATTTTCGTTTCCCTGACTGAAACACCTGAGATGAAACTAAATCAGTCCAACTAAAGCCAACTGAGCACAGCAAACATGCCACTAGGTGGCAGTAATGTTCCCAAAACACTCAGCCTGAGCCACTGGCCCATGAAAATGGAAGACATTCTGTTTGTTAGTCTTTAATCCTTTTGATTATTAATAATTCATAGTTTCTCTCATGTCCATTGTTATTTTGCCTTTATGTGTCAAATGTTATAAATATATAAATACCAATCCAATATGCACCAATCTCATATTATCGGTCCGAAGTTGGAAAAAAAAGATATTCTACATCTGTGTTCAGTGACAATATGCTCAATTCATATTCAGTATAATAAATAAGGTTTTGTGCTCTGAGTGACATCATGCTTTATTAATTATTTTACATGGTATTTAGAATTCCTAATTCCACTTACTGAACCATTTGAAAGAAGAGTTTGTTATAGTTTATATTTACATGCACCTCTTCCTTTTGTCAGTTTCAGGTCATTTATTTTCCATTGACTGTTTTACTCCTTATTGCTCTGGCTGAACAAATCAAAGACGTTTTTCCATATTTGATCAAACTACTGGAGCTTGTGTTCAAGTTTACTTTGCCGGTGATGAAATGAATTTGTAATTCAATAAATATGTGTCTGTTTAAAAGTGATATTTTAAGTCAAATCAACATGTTTCTGTATCAGTGGATACTAAACCTCAGAACATTGAATGGCCGTGTCTCTATTTTACAGATTCTCCCCCCGCTTTTCAAAATGAACGAAAGCAAAACTACAGTATATCTGTTTTCAACTATTTTTCATCTTTACAGCTCTTTGAATGACATCTGCATCACCATGGTTACATTAAGAAAAGCAGAAGCTGTAATGGTGGGATGGGGGGGTTTGGGGGGGCTCTGCTCACCAAATGGTCGTTTGGTGAGGTTCAGGCAGGACAGGTGGTAAGCTTTGGTGCAGTTCTTCTTGTCGCAGAGCACCAGCTGCCCTCCGTCTCCACAGCGGAAACACTCGTCTTCAGACTTCTTCTTTCCCTCGCTTTTCCTCCTCCTGTACTTCCTCTTAAAGCGCTTTCCCTTTGGCTCTGTGTGGCCGTTTGCGTTCTGAGGGGGAAACAGAGGAATTGAAGCCGTTTCACCGCCTGGACAGGCTTTTCCTCTACCTGCAGTAAACTCTGAGGCTCACCTTGGGCCGATCCCCGAGGAAGCCGCTGCAGTTGGGAGCGCCGCAGCGGCAGATGGTTTTCTCGTTGCCGAGGCAGTCCAGGTTGTAGTTAAAGGTGAGCTCGGTTCCTGCGTCAGGAAAACGTTTCAGCTGAGCAATGAGAGGAGGGAAACAAAAAGGTGCAGCCTACATTTACTGAGAACTCGTCTGACCTGCTGGGATGTCGCAGACTGCGAACAGGCCGACGCGGGTGTCTCCGTTCACAGTCCACTTCTGAGTCTCGCAGTTAGGCTGGCAGCTGTGGTTCATGAAGCGGGAGTAGTTTCCTTTTGGACCTGCGTCAATGATTCGGTCCTTTAAAAAGCCCAAACCGAGGGGGAAAAATAAAAATAAAATCACAAGTTACTCTCCTATTGTCATTAGCTCAGTTCTAGCCACCAGGTTCAGTCATCAACAGTTTGTAGTATCGACTACTGTAATGTTACAGTCGTCTGTCCAGCAACACTCCCAATGCAATACAGTTTCTGTAGCTCTCAGCAGGGGGGGGCGCTGCTGAGAGGGAGCAGCACCCTGGTTCACTGCAGAGCAGAACGCTGCTGGACTGGGCTCACCGAGCCTCCAGAACCAGAACCAGGTGGTTCCCACTAATCACCTTGTCGATGGTGAGCATGTAGAAGTCGGTGATGTTGTTTTCGTGGGCGTACTTGATCCTGGCCCTGCACTCCTCCTCATCGATCAGCTCCCCGATGTACTCATTCACAAACTCACCCTGTTTGGGAAACATACCCATGCTTTTATTTTGGAGAGACAGGATAGTGTTTTTTTTTCTTTCAGTTCATTGCAATCAAAATTGAATGAAAGAGTGAAAAAAAAAAAGAGAGAAGATATTAAGCGTGAAAGCTGGAACCTGTAATCTGAACAATCGTATGTTCAGATTACATAATTTACATATTGAGCAAAACACAATAAGCCCAGCAGAATAAACCTTCATAGAGGCAAATAAGGTGATGAACAAAGACATCTGGAATGACGTACACAACTGACATGTTTCACACATTCACGCCACCAGGGAGGCTCTTTACTTCCTGTAGTGTCACCCCATCAAGGGCCATCGTGTCATAGCCCTCAATGACAGTAAGCAGTGACTTTTTTTGGGGGGGCGGGGAAAAAAAATAAAAAAGGGAAAGGAGAAAAATTGATGCAGGTTCTTCTCAGGTAAGGAGGGATTAGATAGGAAAAAGGAGACAGGAAGGTTATGTGCAGCAATTAAAATTTTTTTGTGAGACCATGTTATGGCAAAAATAAAGCTTAAACAACATTAGCTACTGTTTGAAAAAGACGTCGCAAAAATGTTTAATTTTAGACCGCAGCAATTACAACCCATCCTCCAAAACAACAGAAACAAACAAAAAAACAAAGAATCATGGCAACATCCTGAAGGGATGGTAACAGAAGAGCGACTGTTAGCTGCCCGGTAGGCGGGTCAGTCAGATGATTCTTAAAGAGGTGGATAAGAATGATGGACAAGATCAGTTTCACATTCAGGTTCTGGCAGAGTGATCTCAAAATGTTCTCCTCACCTTCTTGATGTCTCTCAGGGCGATCAGCCCCCAGCCCTTGCCTGGGGTCTTGATGATCTTGGTGTCTGGGTAAAGGCGCTTGGTGAAGTCCTGGTTGCAGCAGCGCTCCCCGCTGGGACACACCTGGGGGTGACACTCGTACTGCAGCATGCGGTTCAGGCACTCCGACTCGAAGCCGCACGGGCGCTCGTCGGCCGGCTTGCAGTTGCACTTGGGGATCTCGGAGATGTCGGCGGTGTAGACCTGCACCTTGCCGAAGGGTTTGTTGACCTGCAGGCAGAAACGCACAAAGATGTCCAAACCAAACGCAGCAAGGAGGCAGCGCCCTGAGGGGACGGCGAGAACGGAGCTCAGAAACAGAGGGGTCCGGAGCGGTTCCCACCTTGATGAATTTGTACGGAGGCGGCTTCCGGCTGTTTTCCTGAGCTTCCTTGGCTTCCCGTTTGATCTTGATCTCCTTAAATCGAGCCTCGGCCTCCAACAGAGCTGAAGACCAAACGACACAAACACTTCAGCTTCACTCTCAGTTAGTTTATGGAGTCTTTAGGAACACGGTAGAAGAAAAGGTGGTTTATTTTTTTAGATTTAAAGGGGGGGAAAAAATTCTAGAGACGCACCAAGTGGATATCACTAAAAGCAAACATCACAAACCGACTGAACTGCAGGTTTTTACCATTCTTAAAGACTTTGCCTATGCCGTTCTTCTGGTACTTGCTGCCTCTGTCTCCTTCCATGTAGGGAAACACTCGGCCCTGGTGAGTCCAGAAGTAATCCTTGGAGCCGAAGAAGAAGACCGGAAACTCTCCGATCTCATGCCGGAGGTGCTGGATGTTTGTGGGGACGTTTTTGGGGTGGTGGATCTCTGCTGGCCACCACCTGGACAAGAATCAGGAGCGGTTAACGTCTTTACGCCACACACACACAGGAAGCATTCAGCTGCTCCGCCCACCTGTATGTCCCCAGCTTGACCCATATGATGTCTCTGTACTTTGGTTTCTTGCCGGCTCGGCAGTCGTTGCAGAACCAGCTCCCGTCGGGCATGGCGATGTTGAGGCAGTCGGGGTGGAACGCTGCAGGGCACGACTCGCAGCACAGCAGCTGTCCTCCTACCGGACATGGAGACGCAGTTAGAGCAGAGCAAAAACCCAACACATTACTGTTCACACATGGAAACTAGTCCTTAAAGACGACACCTTCGCCAAAACAATAATCCAAATTGTAGTGCTTTTAAAACATGCAGCGTTATCCTGTTACATGTAACGGGATAACATGTAACAGATTTAAGGCAAACGAAGAGGAGCAATAATCACAAAGTCACAACTAAGAGGCTTGGAGGGGCAGAAACGCTCCACCTCAGGTAAGAACATTCATTAGTTATGGAGTCCAAACATCTGGCTTTAATGGAAGAACCACTAACGTTTTCCACAAGACATGCAGAGAAAACAGAGGACATCTGGAAGGCCAGCGAGTTTTATGAAGCAGAACAAAGATTTCATTTAAAATGATCAAAAAGGTCCTGGACATTATGGAAGTGTGCACAAGCTTTAGAAGAGTTTCATGTGACAATTATATGTTCAACTTCTATTTTTAAAAGGGAGCTTTTCTGTAATGCCAAAATTTAAATGTTTGAGTGATAAAAAACAAACAAAAACAAAATGAGGGGAAAAGACTTTGTAATGCCTTGTAAAACCATTTGATGCTCAGTTGGTGAAACAGAACAACAGGAAACGTTGAGCTCAGGCTTTGGCTGGGCCTTACATCAGTTTTCAAAATCTATTTTTTTGGTTTTTGAAGATTTAAATTTTGGAAAATGCAATCCTTGCGTTTCCACAGTTCAGACTGATGTCCGCACACAGAGAGCCGCCGACTTGTTTCACAGAATCTATTCTACCACAGAATATAACAATATTTCAAGAAAACAATTGTAGTAACACGAGAATAAACTATATTACAAGAATAAAGTCAAAATGTTAGGAGATTTTATGAGAACTTATGATAAAAATGATCAAACCTTTTTTCTTACTAAATAAGCCTTTTTCTTCATAATTTTGCTGATTTTTTTTTTTTGCATAAAATCACATCTTTATTGTGCTAATATATTCTCAGAATTAAACAAAAACTTAAAACAAATATTCTCATAGGCTGGTACAGAAGGGATTATTGAAGTAAAAAACACTTTAAACATATTTTCTGTAAATCAAAATTTCTTTTTCAGAAAAGAAAGTGAGGAAAAAAAAGATTAAAATTGAAAATCGAATCTGGTACAAAAATATTTTGGATATTTTGAATCTCCTATCCATACTGTGGTTATTGATTTGGTCCCATCATGTCTACATACTTTATGGGGGAATGAACATGGTTAAAATGAAACTCCTCTCAGAGACCCTCACTGACCTTTGGAGCAAACGAAGCACCAGCTGACGTTGACGTGGCTGTGGTGGCTGTAGCCCTTCTTGGCGTTAAAGTGGTTGGTGCAAATGATGGCCGTGTTTGTGATCGTCTCGCTCCCGGCGGCGACGCACAGGTCACCTACGTGGTACGCCACAGGGCATCGCAGGCAGCGCATCAGCCGTCCTGCAGCACACAGAGCGCCGTGGCGCCAGGTTAGACCAGAGGCTGCTGAAAACGTGAAAACCGACCTGATGGATGGGCCTGACCTTTGGTTGCCTTCTGCTTGGTGCGGCAGCCGTAGTGGCAGCTGAGGCAGGAGTGGAGCGGGCAGCGGAAGCCCTTGTTGTCAAACACGGTGAGCGGGTTGAGGCGGACGCAGCCCTCGTGGTAAAACTTGCCGCAGTGGGGGACGTGGCAGCGCCGCACCTCGGCCTCAGACTGCTTGCAGATGAAACACGAGTGGAGTCCTGAGGAGGGAAGAGGCGGGCTCAACGGCTACGAGGAGGGAGAACCACGGTGACAAGCAACCTATTTGGGTTCCTCCAGATTCCAGGCCAAAATTCCACTTTACCACATTTTCAAGGACATAAAGGAAAAAGTCTGGAACAATAATTTATGTTGCTTTACCATCCACACTTAAAGGGACAGTATCATGTGTTTTTCAGGCACAAAGTGGCATTTTACAACATAATCAAGCAACTATGTCAATTGTTATAAAAATTCTAAATACATATATCAAATATGACTTTAAAAAACTTGACTAATTTAACACCTTGATCTCGAACCACTATCGCTAAAAAAAAACAAAAACTGACGTTTCCAATGAACGTCAGACTAAAGAATTGTGGTTTTGTGGCATTTTCTCTTCATACCCATGCTGCACTCTTGACATAGCAGCTTGTCGTCGGGTTTCAGGGTTCCACCCAGACAGTGCAGGTGGAACATGCCGCAGCACTGGCCTTCACACGGCACCAGGTCCTCACCGGCCACCTCACACACCTGGAAGCGTGTCCAGCGTTTGGATGGAGAGAAAAAATATTCATAGGCGTGAAGACAAGATTCACTGAAACCAAGAGGGATAAATCACTAAAGCACTACCTGACAGACAAACTCTTTCTTCCGTTCGCCTTTCTTTGTCCCGTCTAGGCTGTCGCTTGGAGAATCTGGACGTTCTTCACTTGCTGAACCCTGAAACAACATGCAGGAAACCAATGAAATGAGGTTCAACACGAGTCATTTCCTATTAATCTACTTTCTTAAAGTACCAATTCAACTTTTTAAATATATGGTTTCTGTGTCAATTTGGACATTTGGGTGTAAATTTGATTAGTTCTGCCTTATTTTGCCTAAAACCGTGTCAGTGCTGCCCTCCTTAGGCAGAACAGTGCCTATGCAGTTGAATATTCCTATTGGCTGCAGCCAATAGATCCACCCACTTTGGTGGATCTTTTTTTTCCGCACTTTAACAACCAAAATCTTTGCTTTATAACAAATTCGGCGAACATTTACAAAGATTTCCCTTCAGATTGTCAACTTTCTACATATGATTTAAAATATTAACATGTTACTGTGTAAATACAAGCTGTATGTAAAACACATTCAAAAGGAGATTTATCACATGGAAAATATCTAAGCAAACCGAACATTAAATGCAGCTATGTCGGAAAATAATTTTAATCATGAAAAAATTCTATGTTTTTGGTCCCTTGCTTCAGAAAGTGAAACTTAGTCATATTCCATAAATATAATAAAGTTTTGTTTAAGTAATTCATTTCACCAAGTTATTTCCAAGCAGGCTGACGTTTTCAACCTTTTATTGTGTCAATGATTATTTTTCTGCTTTCAGCCAATTAAATTATTTAAGATCACACTATTATTTCAAACCAATATATAAATACATTTATATCACAAAATGTGAATTTAATTAAAAGTTTTTTAAGGTTATTTTCTAAAGGTATTTGTAATCTGGCAAATTAGTCCCATTGGAACTCATTTAAATTTATTGAATATGACAGTAGATTCATTTCACAAATGTTTATAGTTTGTGGACGTCTTATGTGAAGACGTCTCCACTCAGGTGTGTGTCTGACCTCAGTGTCAGGACAGGGAGAGGAGCGTCTCTTCTTTGGAGGCTTGGAGGCGCCGCCCTGGTTCTCTCCATCCTGCCTTCTTTTCCTCCGCCGCTTTGGCTTCTCCACATTCTGCTCATCTGTTTCAGGTCACAAGTTTGGTTAGGATTAGTTCAAAGCACACAAAAAATCTCAAGCAGTAACTGATATTTAACATTGGGGGAGGAAAAAAATCATTTATTTTAGGTGATCAAATCCCATCTCTGCAAGTGAATCAGACCTTTTGACTTCTTTGTTCGCTTTCTTGGTTCTTTTAGATCTTTAATGTCGGTTTTCTTCTTTCTTCTCCGCTTTTTGTTTGCCTCCTCTGAAACTGAGGCCTGGGAAAGTAAACTTTGCATGAGTGCGATTGTGTTAAACACCAGATAGCTAAACTAAATTGTCTGATGCCGTGTGTGTGTTTACCTCGTTTTCTGCCTTCTTGTCACTTCTCCGTCTCTTTCTGGGCTGCTGATCCTTGTCTGCTGCAGCATCTGCTGGAGGCCTTTTACACCTCTTCTTTTGCTCTGTCCTCCCTAAAACCAAAAATTATTTAAGATATTCAACTAGTTTGAGTAAAATAAATGATAAATTCATTCTTGCAGTTTTATTTTTATTTTCTTCAATTTCAACCAAACAAGATTAGAGCTTCGACGAGCGATTATTTTAGTAGAAAATTATTCTGACGACTAATCGAGAGAAGAGAATGGTCACGTTCTGCTAACTTTTCATTTAACCACTTTAGCTTATTTTGTACAACATTAAAAACACAATGGAAAAAAGGCAAACAATTTCTTTTTTTTAAATAAGAAAATAAACATTTTATTACCATACTTAAAATGTACTAATGTAGCAGGCAATGGACGGCCGTTGCTACGTATTAAAAAAAAGAAAAACAAAAGACGTTTTATTTTGATCTAACCTGGAAGAGCAACCTGAGGCGAGGCTTCCTCTGGGTCATCAGTGGTCGTGACAGGTTTAGCTTTCCTTCTCCTCTTGGGGACAACAACACCATTGACTGGAGTCGCTTTCTTTTTTCTCACTAGCTTGGCGGGACTCTGAGCCACTTTGGGCCGTCTCTTTTTCTTCTGAGACTCAAATGTTTGAGTTTGTGCCTCTGGAGGAAAAGCTATGGGATTCTACAAAGAGAATAAAACATTAATTGAGTCATTTTAAAACATTAAACCCAATTCAATTTCCAAATGCTCTTAGCATATTCTGAATTAGTTTCAACCCCTCAAGAAAAAGTTTTCTGGAATCATCAAAAATAAACTTGCTGGCAGGGAGGGGACGTCCGGGTCCAGCCTGGGTTCCGACTCTCGGTGCGTCTCGTCAGTGGGTTTCTTATTCAACTTTTCCAAAATGAGAGGGTTCAGATGGGGCCCATTCCCGTCGTAAGTAAATCCAAAGCTGTCGATGCGCTGGTCCGGTGCCATGCTGACAGCCTCTTTGGCCTGAATGACGCCCATGTTCCACTGAGCCTGGAGGTTACGGGGAACCGAGGGAGCCATCTGCAAACCAGACAAGATATAAACTCTGCAGCATGAGACACTTTGAGATTTGCTTTTTTGTTTTAAATATAAAGTCTCTCTAAAGGATTTAAAACTTTTGAACTTATTCAGATTTTGTCACAACCACAGAACTTAACATTTTACTGGGATAGAACAGTAAAGTCGCAAAACAATGAAGCAACGGGAGAAAAGGATGTTACATATTTCCAATATGGCGACACAACAAGTAGTCAAAATTATTTTAAGCTGCATCTTTCACATGCAAACATAACTTTATTCATTCAGTTTAGAGTTGAGCTTTGTGTGATATTAGATGAACTCTTAAATGTGCGTCTTGTAAAATAAATGTTACCGTGACAGCTCAAGACTGTTTTGTAAGAATTTTTAATCTCATGGAGGATTTTTAATATCCTGGTTAAATAAAAGTTGATCAAGTTGGTGGATGGAGCGGCCATATTGGATGTCGAAGTCGATGTTTGAAAAATTCTCAAATTTTCCAAGTGGGAAGTTCAACTTCGGAGGAGCATTCCAGTTGATTTCCGACTACAAATGGAAGGCGGCATTTAATCTAAACCATTACGTTATAGTCAACAATACATTTAGGACACAATAAGTTTTTTTTCTGTAGAAAAGGGAGGTTTAAATCATTGTGGATCCAAAATGTAAACATTTCTTTGCGGTATTAAAAGAAAGATAGCCAGTTTGCAAATTCTTTTGGGCTCAAAAGAATAATAAGTAAAACATTCTACCTAGTCTCAGTAATAACAGGATTTGGGTCAATCTCTCTTTAATAATGTTTGCTGTATTAAGCGACGTTTAATCAAATAGAAGTAGATTTGGGTCATCTGAAGTCTGATCATCAGTAGGAGTCAGTTTATATATGTGATACCATTTGCTGTGAAATTAAAAAGAACGAAAAGCATGATCAAAAGACAAGTACTTTGTGTTGCATTTAATATTTTCTATTGTAGAAAATAGGGCCGTTGTAAATGAATATTTTAGAAATTGAGTAATCTATCAATTATTCTTACGATTAATCGAGTAATCAGATAAAAAAATGTTTAAAATAAAATATTGGTAAATCTGGCAGGCAAACAAACGAACACAAGATGAGGGTTGAGAGGAGGCAGTAGACCAGTTGACAGCCAAATGTAAGTCAGGGATAAAGACGACGGTAGACCATCAGACAAATGTCAGAACGGGGGAGCAATACGGAATATTTATGGCACTTTCGTTCATCACACTCAGAAACTCATGTACCGCCACGATGTGCTCAGCCAGCCGTTTGTTCAGACCGGGATGATATAAAATTTATTGAGCGGTTCCTAAGTAAAGCTACCATCAACTACTTGCCTGCAGTGTTCAGTCTCTCCGCTCACCTGTATAAATACTCCCACTGCGCTCTTCTCACCATTCGCTTTCAACTAGCAGCTCTCGGAGGAGAAAAAGTGCCGTACTCCAGGTATCGCGCCAGTCATTTTAAGAATACTTATTGGTCCACCAAAAACGATGAAAACTCGGGTCTCATCGTCAATCAATAAAATACCCCAGGGCCAAACTTGAAAATTGGACGTTATGCCGCTAACACCAAGTTTTCGTCAACAACTCAGAGGCGGAAGTCAGAGCTACGTGTAACGCAAATAATGTTCTGGCAGGAACATGGTGCGCAAAATAATAAAACATAAATTAACGAAGCTGCGAGGCAGGTAAATTTTGCTCAAGGAATTGTAATAATTGAGGTACTCGAATCATTCGAGGAATCGTTTCAGCCCTAGTAGAACATTTATATTTTTGAATGGTAATTTTGCTCTAATTAAAGAAAAAAAAATCCATCTGCATAAATCCCTGATTATGGCTGTTCTATAAAATTTTTTGATAAAGTGAAATGTTTAGTTTTTGCAGGACATGCAAAAATTTTTTTTAAATCAAGTCGTAAAAGGTAACTAACCTTTCTATGAGCAGCGCTAGAGGCCGGTGGTTTGTTTCTCTGGCTAAGCTCCACATATTGCTCCTCCCCAGTGAAGGTCACCATGTTCTTCTCAAAGACGAAGCCTCTCTCTGGAGCGTCCCCAAAATACTGGATGTGGTAAAGGAGGCCTAACCTGCTGTTGGAGGCTACAGACGACACAAAAACATGGATGTTACAGCAAAATATACCAACAGGATTATTTCTCCTATTAATAAAGCTCCGGTGTTTATGGTCGTCACCTTTCTGTTTCTGTTTGAAATGACTGTTGAGTTCTGGGTCTGTGGTCACCATGCAGGGCCACCATGGGTACCCCGACACCTTGGTCCAAACCAGATCCCCCACACAGAACCGCGTAGGTACGGGACGCTCTTCTGTTATTGGCTCTGGCTGTTCGGACACGGCCGCGGGCTGAGGAGGAGAAAAACCGAAAGCGTATTTAGTATTGGCTGACTTTACTGACGCCTGTTGCCGTCCATTAGATGCTGCTCTCTGCTTCTGTTCTGGCCAGGTGTTATAGACAGGACAACCTGCTGCTCTGCTCAGTCATTCAAAGGCTCTCAGTCTTGAAAATAAACATAATCTCATCTCTGATTTTTGGGTTTGATTATCTGTTATTCAGCACAGCGTCATGGCAACCCCTCCAGCTTGGCAGATATTGGCACCAGCCAGAATAAAGACATTAACTTCCTGAAGCATAAATGTGAAACTGTAGCTAGAAAACATATATATATAAACAAACAAACATACATATAATAATGTATATTTGTTTGTTTCCATTCCCTCTTGATTTTTTAAATTAAACATGTTCTTTGGTTTTCGATTTAGAAATTTTGCTAGACCTGCAACTAATGATAATTTTAATTATTCTAATGACTAAATTAATTTTTAAAAATATGCAAATTCTGCAGATTTTCCTTATGATTTGTTCTAAAAGAATTTTTGGCTTAATTTATATTCCGAGTGTATTTTTCAGCAAAGAAATAATACTGGAGTCTGTATACTCCAGTTAATGATTAATCAATTACTACTTAAATAATCAATTCATTTTGTTAAATTTTTGCAGAAAAAAACATTTTAAGAACAATAATAATATTTTACATTTGAAAACTGTAAAATATCTCAGTATCAACAGCCAAACCAGCACTATAAAACACTTCATAGAGAGATTTTTACCTTTTGGCTTTCTACCTCATTTGCCGCTTCCGCTTCTCCTATAACCTCCTTGTGCTCAGGCGTCTCCATGGCGATGACAGAGCTGCGGTTCAGAATAAGTTTTGGTTTGTGGGGTCTCCCCCTCCTTTTCTTCACTTCCTGTCCCAACTCAGGTCCAGGTGAAGCGCTCTCTGTGGCTGTGACCAAACCGGTCCCGTCGGCACAGGAAGGCTCCAGCTGCTCCGCCGCCTGCGGTACGGTCGCCTTCAGCTCGGCCTCGGCATGAGGCGTGCAGTTGTGCTGATGGCCGTCGTTGGTGGCGGGCGCCTCGTCGCCTTTCAGCATGGGTGGCTCTGGGGTGCAGAGCTTGGGCAGAGCATCCTGGTCGCCGTTCAGCACCAGAGAGGTGAGGTCCTTTAGCCTCTCGTGGCTGTGGTTATGTCCGGACATCTTCTGGAGGACGCCGTCCTGGAGCGTGGCGGCGAGCTGCGTGGCGGCTTTGTCCAACAGCAGAGTCGGGTCGCTACCCATATCCGCCCTGCCCTTCAGGGTGCTCAGGGACTCGGGCGGCTGCTTCATGCTGACCGGATTGGATGGTTCAGGCATTGCAGGCAGGGAGCTACCGATGCCGTCCATCCCATCTGACCCGTCCACGCTCACCGAACTGCAGCAGGAACATACATTCACACCAGTTAAAGGGCCCCAATCATGTATTTTCCATCCATGTCGAATCATTACATATTACAAACATGTAACTATGGTAACTTCAGTCGTTTTAAAAATATAAATTAAAAGAAATTTTATATACATGAATGACTTGAAATTGGGCCTTTGTCTCTTTAAAAACTCTTGGTCTTTCTGAAACTTTGCTGTCAGAATGTTATCACAACATGGCTCCTCTATTAACCCTTTAATGACGTTTTTACCAACATTGCACTGAGAAGTAGCTCCAATAATACGCTCAACAGATGAGTAGTTCCACCAGGTGTTTGCCTGGCTAGTCTGAAGCAGCTGAGCGGGGGAGTCACAAGGGAGGACTGCTCTGTGAGGCCAAAGCGCAGAAGTTTGGAAACTGCAACATAGAGGAGGAGCTTTGTCCTTGAAGGCAGAACTAGGTCCAGCTGAATGGTTCCCATGGGAGATTAAACAAGCATGAAAGAATCCAGGTAACACTCCAGGTATGATTTTGATGAGGGAATAACATTATAACATGATGTAATGCTAAAAAAAAGTGGATTTTCCAAAATACTGGCCTTTTAAAACACAACAGGCTAATCCTCTTTGATCAGACATGATGCCTGATTGGCACATCCTCTTTAAAATGGATGATTTTTTCAGGTGAAACTGTAAAAATAATCAAAACAAAGAAGCCTGAAACATTCCCTGCACATCAAGTGAGCAATTCCCTCTTTCTTTAAACTGTGTTGACTGTGCTGCACCATAACTGCAACAGTAAACCATCGCCTCCACCACACTCTGTAACCTTTAGCATCATTGATGTCAGGTGTGAGGATATTTTGCCCAAATCTGAAACAAAGCTGGAGCAAATAAGGCAGTGTCTTATTTGCATGCAAGGTGTGTATTCACGACCACCAGACATAACATTAAAAATTGAATTCCAAGCATTTCCAAGCTACCCAAATAGGAAAAAAACCCACACACACATTCAAAATGAGAATGTGATTTGACCCCCCCCCCAATCTTCAGATTTGCTTTTCCACCATCCAGAACATCTACATTGCCAGATGTGGCCCAGAAGCTGCCACTTTAATGCGTTACTGGCTCATTAGTTAAACTGTAGACACGTTGTAAAGTTAAGAACAGGAAAATGATCAAGCATGGACAATATAAAAAGAGAGTTGAGTGGCGTTGTGCTGCCTGGAGGGCTCAACTGTGTGTGTGGGCCCCCAAAATTCAATTTTATTTAGGGCCCCTCTCAGCATAGGGTCGCCCTGAGAGTTCACTGCAACAGTAAATTCATCTCTAAGCAACGGCGTTTTGGAAATTCGACAATAAACCGCCATAGTTTTACACATAAACGTACGCAAACGGCATATTTAGAACATTAAAACCTACATTATTAACATAAAAATATGTGGAAAAGCACAACCGACGATGTCCACTCCAGTTTATGTTCAGTATATCAATTTTACACATCAAATAAAGAGACCGAGTAGCCGGAAATTCTCTCACCACGACATTACCGAGTTCCCTGGGAAGAAGAGCGGCTATGGTGCTCGCTGCAGACCGGGGCCAAGCAGGGTGAAGGCTCCCCCGTATTCGGCAAAAGCCCCAGTGAGTGGGTGGTGAAAACTGCCACCAGCAATCGTTGCAAAAGCCGCGGAAAGTGAAGCAGCTGACAAGCAGGAGCGAAGCGAACCGGAGGCCGAATAATTGCTGAAAGTCAACGCGTTTCAGTTAGACTTAATAATGGAATTAAGAATCGCGTATAATCCGGGTAACATTACCAGTAGCAACACAAGAACACGGCTAAAATTCTATACACGGCGTCAAAACGCCCGCTTTTTACCGGCTAGCGAGAAACAGGAACTTCGGCTATCATGTCATGCAAGAAAGGCTCCGACTATAACCTGGGGAGAAAGGAGCGATGCTGGAAATCTCATGGATTCAAGCAACCGAGAAATTCCCTGTTGAGCCGCATCTCTTGTCACCAGTAGTCAGCCATTACACCGGACTCCAGAAAATAGACAAAGCCGCCTCCAAAATGCTAAATGGAAAACTTATTAGCAAAAGGGCTCAAACAACTCCTTGACAAACAACGGAAGTAGTAACGGCGAGGAGGTGAATGTGTTTAAATTGCTTAGGCATTATTTCAAAGTCATTCTTAAATTGGAGGCGCCATGACAGCTTGTTGCAAGAAAGCTAACCGTGGCTAACTTGAGCGAACCATAGAAGCCAAGCCAAACTGCTAGCTTAACGTTAGCATAGTTAGTCGGCTTGCTAAAATGGAAGCCCGGCCTGAACAAATGTCCGCTAAAAAAACTCATCCAAGCAAACCGCTTCGGGCTGACACTGTCATAGACGACCGTTTCTCTGTGTTTACCTGTCGAATATCCTCTAGTGTGGTTAAAGGGAAAAATTGCTCATATTCATCCTGGAAAGCGAATCATTTCATTCAAGTCGAATAAAAAAGCTTGCGGGAAACTCAAACTCCGGGGCCGACCAGCGGGAAAAAAGCTCACTTCCGATTGGTCGCGAGCAGAGCTGCGAGTATCCAACCGGTTCTTTCAAAAAAAATCCAACCGTAGAGAGGAGCTGACCTCGGTGTCCCCTCTCTGCTTTCACACCGCTTTTCCCCCCTGTTTTAATTCTACAATTATGCAACAAAATTAAACGCACGTCATTTAAATACAATTAAGATATGACCGAAAATCTAAACTTTTCATCTAAACGCACCTGCATAAGTATTCAAATATAGTTGCTTTTCTGAAAATGAAAGTTTTGCTGTGGACTTTGCTCATTTGTTGGATTTGCTGATCTGTCTTAGTCAATTATGGTTTCGGGTGAAAACGTTACTTTGCAGTTTGCTGCAAGCTTTATTGGTGACATAATTCAAATCAAAATGCTTTGTTAATCCCAGTGGGAAATGGAATGTTCTTGTAACTCATATGATGCCGATGGACAGGAAGAATGTTACATGGGCAGTGTGTGTTACAGCAACCCAGAAGAAGCCTCTGACTGTCTTCCTGTCTTCTGGCTCTTATTTACAGGCTGGATTTAGGGGAGTGTGGGCCCCTTGTCCTTGGAGTAGTAGTAAAATGGCCTACTCACACAAGTTTCTTTTTTATATATACATATTGAAATGGACTGAATATGTTCAAAGTTTTAGGCCAAACTCTAAAAACTTATTTGTTTTTTGTTGTTTTTTAAAATTCCTTGTAAATAATGGAATCATTTCTATAAATGTCTCCATCCATAGACAAAAAAACAACAACAAAAAAACACAAAAACAACTATCCCACGCTACACCAGGCTTACATGATGGAATACTAACACTGATAGTTCGCTGTTGTACAAAAATCAAACTAAATGCATAAAGAAGTGGGACCAAAAGTTTGCTTTTAGAACTTCTTGTGAAACTCCATAAGTTTGGCTCATCAAGTTTCCAAATGCCTGAAGTCAAAATGATTGTATGCAAACACCATTGAAATGTCCTCATAGTCAATGGATGTGGTCATAATGTTGATGTAGAATATATACATCAACATTAAGACAAAACCAAAAGACTGTGTGAAGATCCCCACTTGAAGTAGGTAAGTTATAGAAGAAGACCCCATTACTCCCAAAACAACATGCAAAGCCAAATTACAGTCAGCTAATGCAGTGGTCCCCAACCCCCGGGCCGCGGACCGCAACCAGTCCATAGACCAGTTGGTACCGGCCGAGCAAGAAATTATTTAATATTTCCGTTTTGTACATTACTTGAGTCTGGAGGATTTTTTATTTTTAAAATCCTTTCACTGGATTCTCTCGGTTACGTCTTGCTCGTCAACATTGAGCCACAAGCAGCAAAATGAGTCAGAAACAGATCCATGTTTTTGGAAAGTTTCTTTGCACACTTCAGGTGTCATTGTCTCTCATCACTCCCAGACGGGAGAAACGTGGTTAGCGTGAGCTAAAATTGTCACGAAAGTAAAATGTTTTTGTAAAGGGAAAATCAGGGAAAAAAAAAAAAAGTAGAATTATCTGACAGATGACCGTTGACAGATTTGCTTGCTTATAACCAGTTTGGCACGGTCACGTGACTTACTGAAATCAATGCGCACCGACACGGTTAACCCATAGGAGTTAACCTATGGGAGGTGACACATGCTGGACCGTGTCAAATTGTACTAGTGATACTTCACTAGTACAATCATCAAAAAACCTATCCATTCATTCCACCTTTCACTCACTCACACCTAAGGAGAGAGAGACATACTTACGTGATTGCATGTTTTAGAGTGTGGGGGAAACCGGAGTACCCGGAGGAAACCCACGCAAGCACAGGGAGAAACATGCTAACTCCATACAGAGGAGAGACCCCAAGCTGGATTTGAACCCAGAACCTTCCGACTGCAAGGCAACGGTTCTACGAACTGCGCCACTGTGCTGCCCGATACATAACTATGCTCCTATTAATATAACCTTGTACCTTTTGACGTCACCGCGGTTCTCTGCTGACGATGTTGAAGAAGCATCCGGGGTTTTTCGTCATCATCATCCGGGTCTTTTCACATTACTTCTGTTGAAAACAGCAGCATCTGCGTTGCCCAAGAATGCAGTAGCTGTCACTAACTACGCGCTCACAGTGGGATTAAAAGCAGCATTTATTTGATGCATAAATGCAGACTGCTTGAATCTAGTTTTCACTAAACTCCTTAACAGTCACCCGGCAATAAAGTGAGAAGGAGGCTCTGTGGGAGGAGTTAACCTCTTGGAGAGCAAAGCGAGTCAAAGCATCTGAATTTCATGACAATGGCGATGGGTAAATGATTCATGAAGCGTTTCGACTCATAGCAAAACTGTATTGATAATAATAAACATATATAAAAATGACCTCTACATATAGTAATAAACATTTCCATATATCACCTCCGATGTCCACCGGACTCTCAGTTGCCATGTCAACTGTTTGGGATTCCCCCTTCGTTCATACGTCACCGGGCTCTCTGATTGGCTCCCTGTCACATCCAACAGGCTGCGTTCAGTCAGGGAAAACCCCACAGGCTGATATAAAAGGGCCAAGGCAATGTTGAAGATGCCCGATTTTAGATTGGGCATGTTCAACACATCACCAGGTAACAGAGCGCACACTGCAGCACGTCGTAAGATTGCCGTAAAGGGAAAATCGGGGCAAAAACAAAAAAGGCTTTAGCGGGAACACCAACATGCTAAAGTATGACCATCTCTAGGCCATCCTCGGCAATAAAAAGGTTGGGGGCCACTGACCTAATGCACTCAGGAACAAAAACCTTACTTTCAGAAATACATTGAAACTTGACGTGCTTGGCCATATTTCGTCACACTTTGTGCGAATTTTGCTGTCGGAGGAACTAGTGCATTTCATAAAATACACGACGAGGAAAAATTAAGACAATTTAAATGTTGAACACAAATGGACAATAACCTCAAGCAGATCACCAAATTACTTACAAAGTGACAACAAAGTTAATGTTTTGGAGAGGCCCTCACAGATCCTTGATCTAAGTCTTTAGGCCATTTAAAAGTCTAGGTCGAATCAAACAATTGAAATGTATAATTAACAAGGCTTTAGGTATTCTGAAAGTGCGAGTATAGCGCCACCTTGTGGTTTGGCACTTTCCTCTGTGGCATGTGTACTCTGGAGGTCTGAGTCGAAGGATTCTGTCTCAGTTTGTCCAGAATTTGAAATGTTTGAGTTTCACGTTTGAAAAACTACAGTTCAGTTAATTTCAATTCAGTTCATTTATATAGCGCTGACAGTGGGTGTTTCATCAGGACATTCTAAAAAAAAAAAAAACAACAACAAAACAAACAAAAATCAGTAGACGTACAGAAATATTAAACCAATTTAGTTAAATCATACAGAGACATTAAAAGTCATTCACAGTCAATTTTATTGTTGTGATACAACCATGGAGTGAGTCAAGTTCAATTCATCTAAAGTTGGTGAAATGTTTTTTTTATCTGAGGAAACCGAGCAGATTGCGTCAAGTAACTGAATTTTCAGCAATCCCTCCTTGTTAGTTTGTATGAAGCAACAGTGGAGAGGAGGACTCCTGTAACAGAAAGAAACATCCAGCAGAACCAGAACATGGCTCACTGTGACTGTGCTACTGAGGTTGACTTTTATTTTTATTTTTTTACATAAAAATGTAAACATAGTTAGTAGAGGCAGAAGTTTCTTCGGTTTCTGTGTCTAGAAGAGAGAGGATTAAACACAAAAAGACAAAAGGAAATTATTTTAAAAAATCAGTGGATAAAAACTGATGTTTTGATCCTCCAGTTAGAGATAAAATTGATGATGAGGCTTTGTTTTCTTATTACCATCCTCACATATGGAACACCATAAAGACCTGAGGGCCTCACGCTGAAAGCAAAGTGTTACTTCGACTTCATTAACATTTTATTTGATCTAAACTATGGTTTATGACTTATTTTTTATCTGAATATTTATTTTACTAATTCTAATTAAATTGTATTTTATATTAAATTACTTTTTATGTAAACAATCTGACTTTTATCGGTGAATGGAAAGCTTTTATTTTTAAAATTAACCGGAAGCATGTGCTGAACGTAGGGCCTGACGTCATTCAGAAGCTACTCCCGGCTGCTTTCTGTCATGCGCGTGAAAGGGAAGGACGGACATGACATGGGGTTATATTTTCCACTGACCACATAAACGAGCTCCTGACACTGTTGAAGTCGTCAAATAGTTCGGGTTTCTATGTTTCGGTTTAGTAGGACTTTTAATTAACCTCCAGTAGAAGCTGAGGCGCGCGAGTCGAGCGGCTAGCTTTTTAACTCGCTGTTTAAAAGGAGCTACTTTAGCCCACAAGAGCATGGCGTTAATCCTGTTTACGAGGTCCCGGACACCTTTAATGAAAACGTCCCGCTCGTTAAAGAACGAATTCCGGAAAGGTAAAGGTAAGGTTTGTGTTTCGGTCTTTCACTAGCTAGCATGGGCTTTATTATCATTCCAGTGAAGCTAACAGTTAGCTTAGACGTGTTAGCATCTGGAAGAGTCCTGACTTTTCAAGTGCAGCTCGTTCTGTTTTGAGTTTTTAGGTGGACCGAATATGAGCGCAGCAGACATCAACACCTTTCAAATTACGATTTAGTTCATTGTGACGGCGAGCAATTTCGAATTACTAAGTCAAACCTTTGTCAACAGCGGTGATTGGGGAACGCATGATCAAGGATTGAGGTTATCTGAGGGCATTCCTCTTTAACGCCGACCTGAAAGCGCCCGTTTGCAGTGCGGGGTGATGCTCATGTTGCCATGGCAAACAGGTGCTCCTCGGTTTACAAAAGCAATATTAGGGAAGAAAGATTAAAATATGTCTCAAAAAACACAAAAACAATACTTGCCGTGCAAAAAAACATTCATTAAGTAAAGCAAAACCGATTACTCAAATTCACAATCTGCTTTGATAAGTTCTTCTGAAAAGTCAGAACTAGCAGGTCAGACTTCAAGGAATGAAAATCTGCTCAGGCCTGGAAAAAGCTGATCGGTGCATTTCTGCTGATTTTTATGCCCAAGATGAAACGCAAGTTATCTAAGGTCTTAGTTTATCTTAGCGTTGCTCAACATGTCCTGACGTTGGAGTATTGTGTAAGAGGAATTATGATGTTTCAAATGTGTCTGAACTGGCCACCTTTCCAGTCTGCACTATAGTAAGGTGTTATTTTTGACTTACTGAATGGTTTTTATCTGGATTACATCTGTGCGGCCTGATGTAATTTTCATGAGCCTGTCCAGTAAGTTGATGAATTTCCATGGTGGGTATCAAGATGAAGTGTCTGCCTGCACTTTGGTTATGTAATTTCTAAGTGGATCACAGTGAGGTCAATGAAGGACTCTGATGGCATTAGTAAATGTTGAGATAACATGATCTGGAGTGTTTAAAATGTTGAGATAAAATGATCTGCAGTGTTTATGAAAAGTTCATAAAGAGTTTTTGTTTGTCTACGTTGCCTATCCCTGTGCTTTTGGCTGCGGGCCCAAATTATCAGACAGATAGCACAGCTTCCACAAATAAAGGTCAACGCCTTTTATATCTCCACTTGAGAGCGAGGGAGCTCAGTTCTTCTGTTTTGGTTTTAAGGTCCCTGTTGCCCAGCACTGTGTTGTGCCCTCTTGGTGAACCCTACTGTATATATATATGCTCTTGCTGCAGTTGAACATTAAGATCTAATTTTATATTTTTATAACTTTATATCCAATTTTCTCAGTTTTAAGTTTACATTTGTTTTCATTACAGGTATATTTAATTTATTACTAAAATGTTCACTTCTGGGTAAAGGATTTAAACTATTTACATTACTTTTATATGCAATGACAGTATATTATTCCTTACTGTCTGACCAGACTCGGAAGTTTTCTCGTTCAGGTCAGATAAGATTCCTAACATTATTTCTGCTTGCTATATACCAGAATAAGTGGATATATTTATAATGTTTTGATTTTCGTTAAATTTCTTTGTGTCAGAATATTTAATGAAATGTCTTTTAAACTGTCCGACATGAATCAAAGGTGTTGCACATTCTTTTACATATTTTTCACATTAATATGAAAAACTAGTGTAGCTGAGTGAGATTTGAAGTCTATAATAAAATATTTGGCCAGTTGGATGGATTCTACTTCCCTTACAGGGAATTCCAGATGTATATTTTTATTTATTTTTTATTTTTATATTTTTAGTAAAATACACATTGATTATTTAAAGGCAAAGGTATCTTGGGCCCTGTCTTACAGAGATGATTTTAGGTGTATCCACAAAAGGTTTTATTCTGTTCATATACATGGATTTGACGTCTCGAGTGACCAGAAACATGCATGGCCCACTGTGGCGCTGCTGTATATATTTTCTTAATCGTTTATATTTATACTGAACCCATCTACATGTGTATAGGCTTAGTGTAATCAAACCACTGACTTTGAAGAAAATAACAAAACAAAACAGTCTTATTGCTTTTTACCAAAACTAGATATTTTTTTTTATAAACCTTGTAAAATAGGATGATTCTGTCTGATTTATTGTCAGGTAAATGGGGGTCGGGGTAGTAAAGGTAATAAGGCTTGTTATTCAACTACTGTTGTTAGTTGTAATGAGTGGTCCAATATTCAAACTAATATGTGGGAAAAACTGCACAGAAACCTTTTAAACACAATATCCAATTGAGCTGTCTTCAGTCTTTATTAACAATCAGCACCATCAGTAAGATTCTTTACAAACTGTAATGTTTCTAGGGAATAGAAACACTTAATTCTTTAGCATGTAGACTGGTAAAGACAGCCAGTGGTTACGAAGTTCCATCCATTCATTTTCATACACCCTGGTCTCTAGTGGGGTCGGGAGGGTGCTATCTCCAGAGACATTTTGGGCGAGAGCCGG